AAAATTAGTTCATATAAGATTTTGAGATTTTATTAATTTTGGCTCAAATTTAAAAACTTGACATGGATTTTTTTTGGAGGGGGGGAACAGAGTGAGTAGTTTTGGGATATGAAAATATGACATTTTACTTTTATATGATGATAAAAAAGAAGTTTAAAGTTTAAATAAATTAAAATAGAAATGATATATTTAGTGAAAACAAATAGTGAAAAGGAATAATAACTGATGTGGCATATATTAACTCCTCTTTTTTTTGTGGTACTTTTTCGTTAAAAGTTTCATTCTTCCCAAAAAATTACACTTCTACTCCTTATACATAAGTCACTATGAATTTTCACTATTTTTTTTTCACTCTCCCTACCTAGTATTGTTTTCTCTCTTTTTTTCCCCTCAACCTTTAATCTATTTTTCTTTTTTTTTTGGCATTATGGAGACACCTTTTTTCTAACATTTTTAACATAAAAAATACATCCCCCCAACTAGAGTCCGTTATTCATTGATATTTTGATGTAAAGATATTCCTCAGTAATAATAAAAATTTAAAATAAACTAGGTTTTACATTTTAATAAAATCATATATGCAAAGTTCCACTGAAACGCTAAAATATAATATATGTGACCAATTCTAATGAGTGCTGTGGGGAAGTGTTGTATATAGAGAGAAAAAATCTTTTGTGTTTTCCAAGTCAGGGGTTATTATATGATTCTTTGAAAAAATTTTATGCAAGTGGGTAACAAAAGAGGGTTATGGCTTGTGATCATACATTTAATTAGTGGTGTTGATTAAAGAGATTGGTACCTACTATTTAGATAAGGCTCTGATCCTTTTTTTTCTTTTTTTTTTTAATGTTTTCGTGAATACTAGTCTCCTAATATTTCTTTTTGGGCAAATTAAAGTCATAGTTGTTCACTTTTTTGTCTTTATTTTGCGATTATTGGCATATTAAGATAATTACTATGTTCATGGATAAAATTACTTTGTTTTGAATGCTTTTGACTTTAATCAGTATGTAGTTCCAAAAGCCAGGGTGATCTGTAATGTATGTAACAAAAATGAATGTTTTTTTTTTCGTATCATTTACTCTTATATAATTATAATTTATGTACACATTACACAACATTTGAAATTTTTAACATTGAAAATAGATCAACAGAAAATCTATTAAATTTACCATGCACTAGTTCGATGAAATAGCGCACATGTTTGCTAGATGGAGGACTAAAATCGGTTGGTGTAATTGCAAAAATGGAAAGTGCAACGATATACCAATAAGCCCTTTTTATATAAGGTAGAGTCGATTATCCCTTTTACTCTATACCTTTTACCCTATTAAAGCAGAATACAGGATGTTGATGTGGCAGCTTCTTATTAAAATTTTTTGGCTTCAAATGTATCATATTGCATTAACCATTCTGCCACGTGTCATCTATTTTTAAAAGAAAAATATCATATTGCATTAACCATTCTGCCACGTGTCATCTATTTTTAAAAGAAAAATAAAATTCTTATCTGGAGAAACAAAAGCTACTTTATAAAAATAGCTACACAATTTTAACTCCTAACATTTATCATTTATCAATCAAATTAAAATAGCATTTAAATTTACCCATAAACTTATCCCCTTTATTACTCCACATTCTTTTGTATGATTTCTGTATCGTTGTACTGTTCAATATTATTTCTCCTTTGGCAGATGATTTTTTTATTTTTATTTTTATTTTTGGCTAAAAAAGGGGAAAAAAACCAAATGTGTAGATATTTTATTTTTTTCCAAATCAAGAATTCATTTATCTATTAACACAAAATTAAAGTAGAGGGGCGCATCACCAAGCTCGATTAATACACAATTTATCACTTAAATTTAAAATTTTCAAGTCATTTTTTAATAACCCTTTCCAAAATTTTCTAGGTCTACTCCACCTCTCTTGACCACTAACGAAAAATAATGTACAAAGAGTTCAATAGTGAAAATGATATTCAAATAAATTTGAGGATACAAACTCTTCTAAAACGACTAATAATTAAAAAGAAACGAGGGAATATAATGACGACAGAGAATATTATGTTACCGCCAATCAAAATGGACAAATAATATTTCAAATATTGTTAAAGAAAATATCTTTAAAATTTGAGCAAAATAGTGACAGGGGATTCGAGGCATGATTTGGACAGTTGATATCATGACGAAGCATTATTCTTCTTTCACAAGTCTGTGAGTGCGTAGATACACAACTATACAACGCAGTCAATAGAACGAAGCATTACCAAGTATTCATTTGAGTTGTGTAGATTAATTATGTAGTTGAGTTGAGGATAGAAAAAATTAAGGGCATGTTTGTTTCGTTTTTTAGTGTGTGTTTTTAGGTATTTTTTATATTGGGAATGTAAAAAGGTGTATTGAAAATGAAAAAAGAATACTAAAATAGGACTATTATCATTTAAATATTTTGAAAATATCATAAAAAAATTTAACAAACAAAGCCTAAGTGAACTCTTTCTTCGTTTGGCAGCGATGCATGGATTGTATAAACTTCTCCCGCCATGTTACAGAAAATATTTCACATTATTGAACCAATTAAAACAATACTACTACAGATCGATGAAATATTTTCTTGGAACGGAAAGATATACTCCCTTTGTCCCAAAATTATTATCCAGTTTTAGATTTTATTTTTAGTACAATTTGAACTAAAAATAAAAACTCAAATTGGACAATAATTATGGGAGGGAGGGAGTATCATTTACACCCTATTTTATTTAAATTTCAAGTTATACTTTTACGTGTTCACATTCTGATGTTTTCGTCGATCTATACCATGAGAGATAATTCTTCATTTCACATTCAATATTTTTCATCCGTACTAATCAGTGGACATGGAACAACGAGTAATCAATCGATTTTTCCTCCTTTTAAGTTTTAACTAATAGCCATTTGCCCTGATCTTTAGTGTGTAGTTATGACTTTTCTTTTCTATTTATTCTAAAAATGCGCACCCAAAAAAAAAAAACCCCTTTTTCAAACACATCTTCAATATAATTGAAATTCTACGTAGAATAAGATGACGCATATGATGCTAATGATGACATTAGCAGGCATCACTAATGATGTAATAATGATAATGAAGGGGATCGTGAGGATATTGATGATGATGATGCTAATTATAATACTATCATACAATTATAAATTTGTTGATGTGTTTTTGGAATTTGTCCGTAGCTAGGCATAATGACATCAAATCAAGACTGTAGATTTTTGTTGGTGTTGGCATCTTTTTTACGTCTTTCATAGTCTAATCATATGATCATAGCAAGATTGAACCCAAAATTCCGCAGTAATCTGGCGCTTTGATCCCTTTCCACCATATCTCTTCACTCAGCTCAGTGGAGGGTTCGTACGGATAACGTTTTGTTCTTCATGACGTCGTTATTTTTATTGTCATATTTATATATATTCATTGGTGTTTCTGCTGTAGAACAACAACATATCGGCGTGGGAAGTTGGGTGCAATGATAGTTCATAGTTGTGTTATGGAATTATCATCATTATTACGATATAGGATTTAAATTAAGAGAGATAAATATCAAAACTCAATGTAAGTAATTAACTTTTTGGAACAGAAAAAATATTACTCCCTCTGTCCTAAAATCTTACTCCCTCTGTCCTAAAATTATGGTCCAGTTTGAGATTTCACTTTTAGTACATTTTGAACTAAAAATGAAAACCTAAACTGGACAATAATTATGGAACGGAGGGAGTAATACATTATAAAGTAGTTTTTTCCTTCCTTGATCCTGGTAGCCATGCCGTTGCTTACGTTAGATTGAAAATTTTTGTATTACCAAAGAAAAAAAAAAAAAAAGCAAGTAGGAGAGACTAGAGGGAATAAATACTCTCTTCCTCCCGTCCTTATTATAAGAAATTTTGATATTGTCTTAGATTTCACTTAAAATGTATTTGTAATTGGAAAAAAAAAAATCTAAAAAGTATATTTTCATATTCCTTGTGTTCATTAGGAAATGTTTTTAAAGTTTTTTGTTTCAATTAAAAAGACATTTTATGTGAAATCTAAGAAAAAAAATTAAAATGCCTTATAATAAGGACGTGAGGGAGTAAATTATTGGAGTTTTTTTTTTTTGGGGGGTATTGCAGTATTTTTCTTTTCCTGAAGAGAAGGACGGTTTGGTTTAAACTTTAAATAAATTGGTAGGAGCAGAAATGTGGGACATTATAAAAATTGGATAAAATCAAAACGGATCTTATTGCACATTTTCTTTTGGAGATTCCATCTAAATACTATTGGTTAAATTAAAAAGGATCAAGCAGTAGTCGAGACGGATCTTACCAAAGTTTCATGGTTCCAAATAATTTCCAAAGTGATTAATTAGTGTTTGAGAAAAAGGTGTTGATAAAGTGGTCGAAAAAAGTGGCGATAAGAGTCATAAGACTATCCATTTTTCAGTTTGAACGAAATTAGTTACGTGATTCATTTTTATTTTATTTTTCATGTAGGTGACAGAAAACATTATCAACAATCACTTGATCCATATGTTAAAATAAACCAAACTGTAAATGAACAAGTACGTCAATTACTTCATGAAAATGCCATTTACTCTCTCAATGGATTTTTTTTTAATAAAAAAAACTAAATAAAATTAACTAATACTACTAGTAAAGAGCGGACGATAACCAAAGAGGTTGTAGCGAAAAGGTAAGAATTCTTCTATCCTTAGCCAATAAGTCGATGGTTTGAATTTCGTCATGAGTCAGTTCTCGCACTCATCGAGATGACGATGAGGATCTTTGATCTTTTTGCATAACTTCACGATGAAAATGATAAATGAATTTATTAATGAGATGAGATTTACGGAATCGAATTCATAAAATTAGATTATAGAGATCGCAGAATAAAATCTATCTCCGTCCCAAAATAAGAGAGTGGTATTTAATTAGTTGGGTGCTATTAAGTAAACTACAGATGTAAGGAGAGAAGGAAAAAAGGGTGGACCAATGAGCAAGCGGTTAAGGTAGGAAAAAAAAAAAGAGGGGAACTGGGGAAGTAGGCTGGCTCTCCTCCTCCTCCTCTGTCCGTTTGTATATATATATATCTTTCTTCCCCCAGGTCTTCCCTTCATCTCAAACCCAACAACCATCTCCCTTCATTCTCTGTTCATCAACTTCACCACTCTTTTTTCGTTATTTAATATTTCTTCAATCTTGTTCGGATTCTATTCCCATCTCTCTGAATTGATTCATGCTTTATAAACTCCTCCCGTGAAAACCCATTTGTTTTCTCTATCAAAGACCCGATTCAGATTCCTTCCTCTGGCACGTATGATATGAATCTTCTAAATCGTATTCGTTCTGTTTGGTTTATGATTTGGCCAGTTTTGTATCATCCCCATCATATATCTGTCTTGTAGTTTTTTTCGGATTCGCTTGTTTCCAGTTGGGTTTTAGTTTTTGTTTATTCGATCTGGTTCTTCTTCCATGTTTTCTCGGATTAGTTAGTTTTTTTTTTTAATTTCTCATTAGATATAGTGACTTCCGTCAGTTATGGCACAGGAAAGGGAGAAAAAGAGGGGTGAAAAATACTTTTTTTTTTTTTTTTAAACTCAAAATCAGTTCCATGGAGCCGCCGCTTTTATATTTTCCCTTTAGGGTTCGATGACTATGATCCACTCTGATATCAATTCTCTCAAAGGGATGGATGAAGAAAAACCAGAGTTAATGGTTGCAGGTGCGGCATCTTCAAGATTCACACTCATTCGTCTTTCCCCCCCGGCAAAAAGATTCAATACGTATCTTCAGCCGAGGAAAGACTAGTCTACATTTCTGTGAGTGAGAATCTTGATGATGCTGCATCAGCAATCCAGTAACTATTAATTATCAGATGCTGAAATTCTCTCCTTCTCTCTCTTTTTATTGTAAGTTTTAGCTTATTTTATGTGAATATCTCTTTCATAGTATAGTTTTGGATGCAGATCTTTCGGTTCCTTTTTGGCAGATCGACCCCGCCCCCCCTACCGGCCAGAATCAGAAACAAACGTTGGAAGAAAAAACAGATAAAAAGGTTCCATGAGTACAAAAATTTAAGGTTAGTCCCATGTTTAATTAAGGCTGTATACATTTATATTTGGTTTGATCTATGTTTTTTTTTTTTTTTTCCTTGGGGAACTGTATGGTTTAGCTTTTGAGATTAGACGGAACTTAATTACATGGGATCCAGACAAAAGAAACTGTTTAAATTAATTAAGTACTAGTACTTATTGAAAGATTTTTTGTGTTTGTACTTAAAAAGGGTCCATGTTGCATTTGATTAACAATAAATTAACTAACTTTTAATTTAATGACCTGTGTTTAGTTAGCCCAACACTGCTCTTCTGCATATTCTGTCACTTACATATGGTATATATATATATATATATATATATATATATATATATAGTAGTTTTAACCGTGTACTGATTTGTGAATAAAAACCATGAAGTGTCATTCAAATTGGTAAAAAAAAAAGAAAAAAAAATGTCACTGAAAAAAGTTCATATCTGTGATCTTACTGAGTGGGATTATTCTCTTGTGGTGCAAAACAAACTTGTTGAATAAACAGGGTGGAAAAGAGAATTATTGAACCACATCAGTACATGGTACTGCAATTGGTAAGTAAATGTACTGGCCGGTCTTATATAGAGAGAGATTTAAAGTCAGTCAAGTTCCTTCTCATTTTTGTTCGTTTAGGCATTATATGTACTTTCAGTTTCTTCCCTTTTATGTTGTTGTTCTTGTTTGATTTTCTTGCATTCTGTAAAGGGCGGAATATAGATGGTACAAATGTTTTTGGGAAGAGTAAATATAACATCAAGATAGTGATAGTAATCAATTATTCATGAATCATGATAGTGATTAACTTTCTTCAACGTAATCAATTAGTCCATATAACAGTTCTATGGATCACCGTAAGTTGTTATTCTCCAGGGTAACACATGTACTGCCTCTGGTCCTAATTATACGGCGTTGAAGGGTGTACTAGCTTGTAGCATTAACGCATATGATATAGATCCATATTCTACATCTGCAAAACATATCTATTGATTGATTGATCGAAACAAACATGAAATCATAGTTAATCAAAATCCTAAAGGTGTACAAACTTTTTACACAGATCGAACCTCTTCAATTGTTGACGTAATTGAAGAGTTCTTTTGTGAACAAAGCTTGTGTTGTTTTGGCATAACATCATAGTGCCTACAACGAGTAGTCAAACTTCTTGTACAGAGATGCTTGATTAATTCCATTTGTTTTTAGTGTTCAACACTAGTGCTTGCATAAATATCGAAGCTGGTATCCAAGATGTTAACCACTTTTTCTTTTTTTCTTTTTTTTCCATCAATCAGTTACATACACACATTCTAACTGGATCTGTCATGCACATTGCTACCATGCTTTCTTAAGTTTAACAGTCTAATAGAGCGTTTCTTAAACAACACTAAAACAACAATAGATAAGTTTCCTCAGTCATATGATTCATTTGCTTGGCATTCATTTCACGTACCCTTTCATATTGAGATTGTTTAGTTTCTCGCAATTAAATCATTAAAAGCACTGTTCTCAATTTCAAAACTGTATGATAGAGAGAGTGAGAGAGAGAGAGTATCAAACTCACTTCTTTTTTCTTTTTCTAAATTTGATTGTCTAAATATATAGTGATCACTGATCGATGTATCATTTGTGTTTTATACGATGATGATGATAAGTCGTACATCGGAGCTTGGCCAATGAGTGAATTTGTGCAAGCTTAATGTCTGTCGAAACTTGAATAGTTACTTGTAATAATTTGCGGGATCCGATCTTTCATGGAGACACAAACACACACAGAGTCACATACTAAGGTGACATTACAAAGAGCGTCTTTACACTTTCTTTGCCTTTAATTATACTTATATTTAATTTGCAAAGAAATATTAGAGAGTCTCGTATGGAATGATATGTATAAATTTGAATTATATATATATTCACTTAACGTTAAACATATAACCCTAGACTGTAAACGTACAAGGACATCTGAAATCCAATTTACATTATTTGCTTGCATATAATAACTCTTCTCTTACTATTAAGGCACAGTTACATAAGGGAGAAAACGTAATGAATTGCATAGTACGTTACGCTAATAAAAAAAAATCTTATATTGTGAAAAGGATTACCATTTCATTTAGATGCAATTTGTTTGGTTGAAACAATGATGATCAACATCATGATATACAACACCAAAGTAAATCCTTCTTAAGATACATTATCATCTGTGGCTAATTTAAGCTACGGGATGGTTGGAACTGAAAATCATATAGCTGGAACTAAGAAATTTTGTCATCAGCCATTATCTAATCAAAACCTATCGAAGTTATTTAAAAAAACAGAAAAATAAAAAAGCTATCAAAGTAATTGAAATCTCATGGTCCGTCGCCGAAATCCAACACAAACGATAGAGTAGGAAGAGAGTACTCAATAATGTACTACGACATTGACATTCATTCGCGACACTCTTTTCCGGATGTCACGAAATGAGAGTTCTTTCATTTGTAGAGCTAATTACATTCTTCAATTCCTCTACTACTTTTTAGTGACAAACAAATTCATACACATGTTAATTTATACTAGTCTTTAGTAAGTGTGAATTACGGAAACTGATAAATTACTCCCTCTGTCCTAGAATTGTCCAATTTAAGAATTCACTTTTAGTACCCTTCAAAATCACTTTTTCAATTGCTGCCAAACTTAAACTAACGAATGTTTTCATGGGAACTTAGAAAATTTGGTAACTAAAACAAGGGGTTTAGAACACTTAGGTGGCAGAAGAGTTCCGAGTATAGAGGGGAGGATTGGACCACTGGGGCTAGGCTAGTTCATGATTCAGTGCTTTCAGTTTCCAGTACCAACTTGCTTGTAATAATTGAATCCCAGTCGGTTTTTGCAGTCAAAAAAAAAAAAAAAAAAGGACGTGAAAATTTAATTCAAGCACCGTGGGGCGCGAGACCGAATGAGTGGTTTATTTGAGACACACATAGGGCGTACTACATTTTTGCATTTATAACGTGTTTCGGGTTAATTCAAGCACATAGGACTTTTAAAGGGATTCATATATATATATATATATATATATATATATATCCAACCTTGGAGGAGTTAATAGAGATGAAAAGGTTTCAATACCAATTAAGGATTTAGAAAATGCCAAGCCTTTTGGCTGAAGATTTTTCATGCACACAAACTTGGAAGGTAAAAAATATCTGGAAGTGTATTCAGATACTCCACGCATGGGAGGGAAATTCAGGAAACTATGTAGTCCGGGCCGGGGACGGTTTTAAGACAGGATACACTGGCCGTTACCTTGTCGAGAAGTAAAGCAAGTAGATAGATATTCGCAACAAAAACATACATACGCTTAGTTTTAGGTCTTAGGGCAAGTATGATTTCAGTTCACTTACATAAAAAGAGAGTATATATGAACACTCATACAGGATTTAGCAACGTGTCTAATCTCTTATTTAATTATTAGGGTTTTCCGCATATCTTTGTTAACTCATAATTCACTAATATTGAATACGACAGACACGATCGTAAAAAAAAATCCAAGAAAATTTAATGGATACCATTAACGCAATTTAGATTTACCTTGATTTAACATGCTGTTACACACCACCATATATATCTTCTTGATGGTGTGAGAAACATTGACACTTTAAACAATCAATCTCACTACGTATAACCTAGATTGATAGCATCGATTGTAAGTGGGATGTCCTTTCTAATTTTAGCAACTTTTGACAGTTGGGCATGATTGAATGTAAAATGTAGACCCTATATATACCTGTTTCCAGCTAAATCAACTTTTATCACGGCCAGTTCCCCCCAAACTCAAATATCATCTCTCTGTAGTGTACATCTCTTACACCCTAATTTCTTTGAGGGCCAAAAAGCTGATCCATGGATTGGTCCACTGCCCCCCTAAGGCTAAGTGTTTTCACAATCATTCCCAGCTCTCACCAGTTTTTCCATCGATTTAGCAAACCTCACTTTTTTTCTTCTTTTTTTTTTTTGGTAAGAAAAAAAAAACCAAAAAAAAGAAGCTAAAACCTAGAATAACACAGTACATTATATGGACAGATAACACCGATCACAATCGTGTTCAAACCATAATTTTACTTTTATAAGAATCTTTTAAACAACGGTCACAATTAATATTTACTAGCCACAAAAATTTTACTCACGATACACATGCACTACCCTTTTTAAACGGTGATTACTAGCTCTCTTGTTTTTTTTTTTTTCCTTTAATCGATTTAGCACCTCACTTTTGTAGTTCGACCGTGGTCATAGAGGTAAAAAAAGGGTTTAAAAAAAAGTACATATATTAAGAACTAATGAGGGTCTTTTATGCATCGATTTGTTGAAAAAAAAATTTATGGTCCCATGTTTGGGACAAATGATGAAAGATCGATGCCACTACATAAGAGACTGGCTCTTGTGATGAAGAATCAATCGTACTATGAGATCTTAAATGTGTCCCTACTGAAATCTAGTGGCTTAACATTTTGAAACCCAAAAGAAAAAAAAAAAAAAGAACTAAATGATCAAAGTCATTCGTACCCCAAGTTTATGGGACCACGGGAAACAGAAAAAATGATGATGAAAAGGTCATTAGATCTTTCCTTTTTTTCATTTGGAGTGATTTGTTGTGGTTATGTTTTGGTCCATGTTTTTTAGAATTAACCCCTATCTTATTCACATTCTTGCTAGTTAATTTCAGAGTGACATGACGAATTGATGATGTAGGAAATTACTGTGTTACTATTTTTTATATGAGGCGATTAGTGTATGATTTTTCGATACGCTTATTGTTACTGTTTGTTCGTGCACCTCCCGTTTTAACACTTTTTCGTAACAATGTGTATTGTTATTTCAATATCCTTTATCCAATTAATTCATCCTTTCATTTGGACTAGTTACGTACTATATTATATTATGTGCATTTGATCTTTCTTTTGTTAGTTAACCGTACGGACGCCTGTGAGCTAGCTATAAGCTATATGTAGTCATGATCATCTGACACATTCAGTTGATACATGCAAAACCACTAACAAGTCAATGTCAAGTTATTTCACAAGCGTAAATGCCCCAAAAATGTTCAATTAAAATCAATTATGCTATAAGCTTGTCCAATAAAATTGCTATATATAGAGCCTATTAATGAATGAATCTAAAACTTGTGGTCCATTTCAGCATGTGGATGTAAGTATATTAAAATAATATCACCATAAACGTTTACTTGACAGACAATTTGCAACTCGTTTATAGCATGGTAAATGTGTAGGTTGATATGAGTATTATTTAATTAATTACTTAATTTCGACAGACGTGACTATTTTCTTTTGAGACGTAAAGAGTATGAATGAAAGTACGAAACTATTTCATAATATATGCATGTATTAATTCAGAATTAACTTTTTGCAAATGTTGTACGTGAATTTGTGTAAGAGTTGGTGGGTTATGTTTGATACTGTGTGTTAGAGGTTGGGAGGACAATTGTGGTCTCATAATGCATAGGCGCCAGAGAAGATTGATGTGATGAAGTCTGCTGACTCAATTTCATTTCATCATCTCTTTACCAGTGCCTTTTTTTTTTTTTTTTTTTTCAGAAATCCATATCGAATTTTTCTTGTTCGTTTTCATTTCTCATCAATTATCATGTGATCATATTATATTATGATGAATTTTCTCTAGCAATAGCCCTCAGCTTTCTGTCTCCACCACCGACTGGTCAGGAGCATGCAATTGCATATCTATTTTTTTCGTCCCAAAATAATTAGTAACAGATACATTTGTTATTTTTCTTCTATATTTTGCAGTGCTAAACAGCACGCATTGGACATTCGGACCCTTTGCCTTCAAGACAAAACTTTGTGGGTTTTTTGGGTTCCAAATAGTTCATCAATCTGAAGTCTCTTTGAGATGCAAAGTGGGAATTGAAACTAATTAAAAAACCGTGAGACAAGTCCACTTAGCCGTCTAAACTCATTTTGCTCCTACAATAGATGATAGAGTTTGTGTTAGGGGATGAGAGGACTGGGTGAAACAGTATTATTTGGAAGATATAATTTATGTGATCGGGTTTAAATCTCGTTGTGGAGAGCAATCTCAATGGATACTTTTTTTTTCTGCTTCACTATAACATATTCTTTCTGTTCTAAAATAATTTGTCTAGTTTTTCCGACTTTATAAATGACAAAGAATTCGTTTTAACTACTACTTTACGAATTTGTATAGTTCCTAGCACAATGTATATACAGATATACTTTTACTTTTCTACTAACTCAACAATTAAATTTCTTAAAAAGGTGAAATTCAAACCCTCAAAAAGTTATCAATCCTTTAAACTACCACTCCCAACTTTTCCTCTGATCTTTCGGAAAACAGAAAAGAGAGTTTAAAATGAAACATTAAGTGCTAACTATTGGAAGAGCAATTAGTCCCGTTTTAATTTAATACAGGCCCCGATATTCCTGTCCAAAAATAGAATAAATTGTATGTAGCTTTTAAAATGGGCTTTCCAATCTCAGGCCCATCTTTACGTTGATGACGAAGAATAGCAAGTCACCCGTTTCAAACCGTCTCCTTCCCCAGTAAACGAATTAAACCAAAAATCACAGTTACTGAGCTGATGAGAAGCCTCCATCATGAAACTCAAAAGAATTCTGTCAATTCCCATTTTCTCTGTGATTTTCGTTGTGGGTTTTGTTTATTATATCACTGTTTTCATCTTTATTGAAGATTGTTATGGGTTGAGTAGCCCAGAAGGTTCATGGAAAGCTATGATCTTCACCTTATTGGGTGCCCTGTTCTCTTTCTCTTTCTGTGTTTGTGTCCTAACTGACCCAGGAGGTGTGCCTTCTCAATTCCTACCTGATATGGAGGAAAACCCCGTTTCAGATCAAGAGAATAAGACTACGGTGAGTTGTTTGTTTTTAGAAAATTGAGTTTTATTAGGATTCCCTGATTCTGTGTCTCTTGCAATGTTTATATTTTTGCTTTCGAGTCAATTTCGCTTGCTTTGGCGTTATATGTGGATGTTGCATTATAGTGGTCTTGTCTACTTATGCTTTAAATGGAGGTGGGTGACATGGAGAGAGGAGCATAATTTTGGCATTTTTTTAGTTTGTCAGGTTGATATAGTTTATGGAATTAAAAGAGTGAGTTTTCCCGGAAGGGATTGGGGATTGATGTAGTTACAAAGAATTCTTAGGACGATGTGATGTTGGCTGGTGATTTGAGTATTTGATTTAGTTCAATTTCGATCTCAATTGCACCTATTGAATCTCTTTTCATTTTGAAATTCTATTTTATTCCGAGTTGTGCTTGTCTCCTTGAGGTCCGTTGAATACTCTGTATTGACTTTAGTTGGTGCTGAGTGACCGATTGGTAGAATTCCACAAGCTGAGTATGGTTACTGAAGATCTTTCTTGTTTTAAATTGTTTCCTCTTCAGTTGATGCTGGATGTGACTAAAAGAGGCATCAACTAAATTATTACTCTTAAATTGTTTCCTCTTAAATTGTTTTAAATTATTACTTCTTTATTTTCAGGCTGTGCAACAGAGGCATTGTGATAAGTGTTCAACCTACAAACCTCCTAGGGCTCATCATTGCCGTGTGTGCCGAAGGTGTGTTCTGAGGATGGTGGGTATTGTTCGATAATGTGTATGTAATAGACTAAATGTTATCATTGATTGGAGAGAGTATGACTACTGGCAAGATTGAATCATAGTTTGTAGTTTCTAATTTGTGAAAGTTGTAAATGCAGGATCATCATTGTGTTTGGATAAATAATTGTGTTGGTCTCAGGAACTATAAGGCTTTTGTTGTTCTAGTCGTCTATGCAACTATTACTTGTGCCTACTCCTTGGTGAGCCATGTCTTCCATTCTGTTCTTCTTTTTGGTTTTACCCCTTTCCTGTTTTTGGGCTAAATATTTTGTATTCTGATTATTTTATGGTTTCAGATTACAATCCTCTGCTGTGCTCTTCGGAAAGATTGGGATTTCAGTGGGAGGATGCCCCTTAAAATCTTTTACGTGAGTTGATATTTGATTGATCATAACTCTGTAGTCAATTGAAATTTTGAATGTGTCCAATTCAAATCTGTGTGCGTCCACCGGTTCACTGGTGTGATTCACTCATCTGATTTTGTGAAATCTTCATCTGCTTGAGATAGAGTAGCATTTCCTTCCCAATGTTTGAAGATAGTATGCTGTGAAATTTCTGACAAATGTTATAAACTGCAGATTACATCCGGGATGATGGTTCTTGGCTTAACTTTGACAATGGGAACTCTTCTCAGCTGGCATATTTATCTCATGGCCCGTAATATGACCACAATTGAGGTTACTTCTTCATACACAGTAACATACATATTATAATGGATGTCTTTTTTTAGGGTTGTTGATCTGGTTATTCACTGTGCAGTATTATGATGCAAAGCGAGCAGCATGGCTGGCTAGAAAATCTGGTTTAAGTTATCATCATCCCTTTGATGTTGGCACCTTCAAAAATTTTACTTTGGTATTTCTCTCGCTTTAGCTAGCTTCATCTTTTGTCCATAAAAGTTCACATGCACCAAGGTTTAATTGAATTAATTCTCCATGTATGCAACTGATTTTTTGTCGAATACTGGAATAAAAATTTGGTCGAGGAGCAATGATAACGGCATTTTCTTCAGGTTTTGGGACCAAACATTCTTAAATGGTGGTGGCCAACAGCAGTGAACCACATTAAGGATGGACTTAGCTTTCCTACCGCACGTGATAACCCATAAAATTATCTGCTTCAGCAATGGTGATACACAAGCTGTAAGCTGATATTCTCTGCTTTTGATCGACCAGTGAGATTGCGGTATTTTTTTTCTGACCAAGCGAAGCATTGCCGAAAAACAGTTGAGATCTACCAAATCAGAGATGCAGAAATGATTATTGGTTGACTTAAGGCTCATTTGGTTGGTTTATACTAATGCAACAAAAGGTCTCATTAGTCTTCATCATTGATCATTATTATTTTCTGAGTCCTCAGCAATGTGTAACATGAAGATAGAAATTCCATGATTCACTGCATCGTTAGTGACTAGCATCAAATTTAACCATCAAACTGTACAGCTTTGGTTGCCTTTTCGACTCTATCTTCCTGCTCATTCTTGTCAATGTAAAGATGATGAGCGAGTTTCTTTCGGGTGCCTCTTGTTTGTGTAAAGGCTGCAGTTCTAATTCTTTTCCAAGCTTCCCTTTTGAAGTTGTTACAACAATAGGGTTGCTGTAAGTCTCCCATAGTCTCTCCACTTCTATATATGTGTGTATCATGCAATACGTTCCGGGTTTGTCCTTTAGTAGGTCATGTAGCAGCTTCTTTTCGAAAGCGTGATAACCAATGTCCTTTCATTCTAATGCAAGTTGGTATTGTAATACAAGTATCTGTTGGCTGCCTCAGAAGATGACGAATATAGGCACATATATAATTCTTGCAAGCCGATTCGTTAGATCTGATCAAGACTGTACCTACTGAAATGAAACAGGTCTATGAACCTCAATAAACTAGGCTGTCCGACAGCCTAGTTGAAGTATTTTGGTTGTCCAAAACGCGGAAAATACCATTTTACCAAACCTTAATTAGGTGCAAGAAAGCAAGTTGTGGCAGTGGCATCTCATTTCTGCCTGTGTAGTTTGTGATTGTTGGCCACTGCAACTTGCAACTCCTTTTAGTTTCAGCTCCATGGAAAAGAAAATAAAATGTCACATCTGTTTGAAAAGACGGGGGATTGAAAAGGACCTCCGATACTGCTGAAAGACTAGCTTGGGGTAACAAATAGGCCGACCCAAAACTCTAGAGGACAAAACAAACAACTTAAAAACAAGTATTTTGAAACCAAAGTGGTTGTAGTGGAGTGGAAGGTACTCCTCCACCCTTATTCGAATCTCGCCATGGACATGGAGCAATCTTAAATATTTTGGTCAATTGTCCCACCCATTGAGGTGCCTACAATTCAGTGAGGAGGATTAATCACTGTTGCCGACGGTGAACACCCTGCAAATATGAGAAAAAAAAAAAAAAAAGTATATGGAAGAATTGACCGGAATGGTCAGTATAAATGTCTAGATCTCTCGGGTTCTCTAACAAGTCCACATCAAATTGGGCAGCTTTTGCTTCATCATTATTTATCCAAAACAGTAATCCTTTTACTCCTTCCATTTTGAAGAGTTTTTGTCTACACAAATATTAATAAATTTAATCAAAAAGATTTAATATCGTGGTAGCCACTCTCTGTGTCCTCTGTAATTAGGAAGGAAGACAAAAGGAAATATAGACGTCCTTGGTTGAAGAGATCCAATGCACGCTGGAGTGATGTGGTTTAATTGGGAGTATCATGGAAGGGCATTGAAAACACCTGAAAATGTCACTATGAACAGGATCCTCAATCTCACTCAAAACTTGTTAATTTGCGAATTCTAGAATCGATTGAAAACCCAAAATAGATTGTATATGCTTAATATGATTCGATAAAATTGATGCTCTTTCTGCCTTAAAATAATTAATTTATTCATTCTACTAAACTGTTTACTAATATAGTTTTTAGTATTATTTTTTGACGAAGAGAGTAAACACTCTACGTACGAGAAGTTGATAAGAATCATTTCGATTTTTTTTTTTTTTAACTAGAGAGTGCGAACAAATATGCAGCAATATTTAAATTATCCAATGTAAATTCGACATGCAATTTTTCCTTTTCTAAATGCACGATTGACATCATACAAACTTTTTGTTTTATATGGTTGATATATTAATTGTAACTAAGAAAAGAAAGAAGAAGAACACAATTTCAACTCAGAGTGACGGAGACGAAATATTAAGATGAAATGGAAAAGCATTACTTTTTTTTATATATACAATTCTTACAAACACCTAGACTGTTACATGTGTAAGTCTTGGGGAGGGGATCAACTGCTAGCCTGGTCTAGTGGGGGACTGACTTCACGCCTGCAACGCCTCTTTTCGCAGACCATTTTGAGATGTTACTTCACGTGTTTCTTTTCCTCCTTTATCAGTGTCTTATGTAGTGAAAAAAATAACCAAGTAACGATCATTTGAGTGTAATATGTGCTTACTTAAAATTATTATTCTGTATTTAACGAAAAATTTAAATAAAGACTTTTTGTGTTCATCTATGCCAAATTATCATTTGTTATTATTTTTGAGGTGTTTTAGTAGATATAAATGTACTATTTCAACAATATAAAACATACAGGTACGGGCAAATTTATATTTCCAACTAAATCTTCTTACTTTTGAATGTAAGTAGCTGACTGTATTATAAACAAGAGTTTCCCGACGCGAGTGTAAATGGAGAAGCGGGGCATCTTGATGATTGGATGAATTTTGGGGTAATGGAATCGGAATCATTATGCCAGAGAATCTGATGAATCTCCTTGATTATGGATTCTACTGATTGTAACGTAAGTGCATCTTCCAATATCTAATTAGTGCATTCCACGTATAGTTTTGCCCCTTTTACAGACAGTTTGATCTTCATAAGTCCAAAGTCTGAGGAATTAAAATCTTGAATTAAAATTATAGCCTTTAAACTTACTTAGATTTTAAAATTAACTAGCTCAGGAAAAATATATATAATTATGTTAAGAAAAGAAAACAAATATTTATGTTAAGGAATTGATAATATATAATTGAACAAACTTGATAACTTAGTGATATATTTTTATCAATAACGATGATAAGAAATATTACGATGAAAATTAAAAACAAAGGAAATTATAGAACTTTTAAATAAAATTAAATATTTAGGTTAAAAGATTGACTACACTACATGATATGTGTTTGATTTTTTAAAATCTACACTTAATAATGTGACATTTGTTCCAAATAACTTCTCTTTTAAAATTCCCTCTATTCTTAAACATATGTCATTTTAGAGTTCGCAAAATTTTATAAAATATATGTCGTATTATAAAATCGAGGCAAATTTTATCCTATTCTTCCAATATTGTCATTGTATTAGAAATAAATGGTATATTTAAAATAAAAATTGTATTGGTTGGTGAGGAGTTGTATGGATAATAAATACGGATAATTTTGTATTTTAAACACATTATTCAATATTTTATTGATATTGATAAAATTGCTATAAAGATATATTTTAATTTAAAATGGAGAGAGTATGTAAGATAAGATTATTTTTGCATTTCAATCGAAGAATGAAAGGAAAGATAAGAAAAGAACCTAATTAACACAAAAACACATCGGAAAGCACTAGTAGAATTATTTTAATGCAATACATACATTCACACAATATTAAACGGACAAATATCACATATAAATTAATTCTCAAACTGTTCGAAAACCGGTAGTAAATTCAACTGAAGTAGACGTTCACCCATCCATATCCAGATTCCTCGGATGCTTTTTGGTTCCGAGTTTCTGAAATTTTATCCTACAACATCATCAATTAATGACTTTTGTTAACTTTTTCCATATGTTTCCTGTAACAAACAAATTCGATCGTCAAACTCGTAAATTATTGTCCAGTTTGAGATTTCATTTTAATTAATACTCCTTCCGTCTTATAATTATTGTCTATTTTTTGTTTTCATTTCTAGTTCAAATTGTACTAGAAAGTGAAATCTCAAACTGGACAATAATTTTGAGATAGAGGGAGTACCTTACAATAAAAGAAAAAGTTCCAGTTTGTAAATAGTTTTCAATTATGCCTTCAAGAAAAATACAGTGTGCCTGGAAGAGAATGTAAGCAAAGAACTTACACATCCACTCAATTGATTGCGCTAGGGTTTTTGAATGATCCCATTTCATGCATGTACACAGATCAAAGGATTTTATTGTCGATGTGAATTTCATTATCGCAACCGTCTTACGAAAAAGTTACCAAGTTTAAACTATAAATTTAGTATAAATTTGTGTTTTTAAGAAGTAAAACCACATTAAATACTCCTTTTGTCCCAAAATTATTGTCCTATATGAAATTTCACTTTTAGTATAATTTGAATTAAAATTAAAACTCAAACTGGACAATAATTATGAGACGGAGTGAGTATATTTTTTTTTAAATCAAATTCATTAGACGAGGAAACATCTTCTAAAAACTTGTACATGAGTTGTAGCTCAATTATTGAAGGGAATGGACAATGTTGGTGAAGAGTAAAAGATGCTTCTGCTGGAACGTGAATATTCTTCGAGGCAAATTGTGTGAGAAGAGGAATCAAGAACCCCATGATTTCTCAATTTTAAATCATTGTAGTCTAGAAAATCCGAATATGATTCAACCAGATTTTCTCTTTTTTTTTTTTAATTAATCAAAGATCGATCATGTGACGTGGAGACTAGAACACGTATTTACATATACATATTTTCTATCCTTACTTGGTATCAAATATCATGATTATTTTGACGAGACTTTTTGTAAAGATAACTGGAGTGATTCAATGTAGTACATGATCATGCTCCAAGACCTAGACAGAAGACCTCAATTATTTGATTATTCTTCTTTCTATTTGGGTTTTCTAGATTGTACATTGATGATAGATTTATGGTAAAAATGTAAATACGAAGTTAAAGTTACTTAAACTACATTATAATTGAGGTGCGTTTACTTACAAAAAAAAAACATTGATGTTGTTTTCATGATTAGTTTGCATTCGAATAGAAAATCAGGTGAAAGAAAGGGAGGTAAAAAAAAAAAAAAGTTGATAGCAAGTTCATTACTCAATCCAACCGTAACATATAGTATCATTTAATATTATCAGTCATTCCTTAAAAAAAAAATTTGTTTCGCTTATTATAAGGAAAAAATATACAACTTTCTTGATTGATTGTTATAATTGTGGTAAAATGCTAATCTCACAAACTACGAGAATCAAGAAGGAAATTATTGCTTTCTTGATCTTATATCATTATAACGTGCAATGAAACCTATATAAAATAGGACATGAAGGAATATAACATTGCAGCTTGGACAAGTTCCATCATCGATCATTTCAATTCTCTCTTTCCCACGAGAACAAGTAATAATTCTGAATGAACCTGGACATTGTTATATTGGCATGAGACGTGGAGAACCGAAGTCTAATCTTGTGGTCTCACAAATGTTTCAATGCAGACATGAATGAATGAATAGACAGCCGGAGATATTGCTTGTTTGAGTCATTTTTGGTACATGTAGATGTGTTCTGTTGACCCTCTTAATTTTGGGGTTTTTTTTTTTTTTATGTATATCGTTGGTGTAATTAATATCATGCGGTGCTGAGGCTCATTGGCTTCTTGAAGTGATTTTCTGATGGAGACACATGCAAAACAATACAATGATTTGTTACAAAACTAGATTTCTTGTTTTTGTTAATCATGTCTACATTTGGAGATAATAAACTAATACTTTTCCCTTTCTAAAATAATAATTCATAATAAGTTTTGAAATTCGTTAAAATTTAGGGTGGATTATTTTCTTAAGATAGAGGAAGTATTACTCTTGTAGAACTGTTGACAACTGTTGAATAAATTTAAGATTGCTCGACACTAAAGCGAGACTTGATTATTCTTTTTTTATTTCGGGGAAAGGTGGCGCTGAGTATTACGGCTGGATCCTCCTCTAAACTTCAAAACTTCAAAAATTTGACAAAACGAAACTAGTAAATGTACTTGTGTGTGCTACATCTGGAATAATTACAGGGTCTCTTAGGGTTTGCGAAGAGGAACACGTCATAAAAAACATGATAAATTGACTGTGAAATATTTTAAATAACCCTTATTATTCGTGTACACTATTTATATATGGTTATTCGTGTAAACTATTTATTCGGTTCATGGCGATTTGTTTGGACGTCCACTTAATTTTCATTTTTGACTTAAAAGTGAAAAGTGTTTTAAGTGAAAAACTTAATGAGAAATGAAAAAGTTGTTTGGATGTTATTTTTAGCAAAAAGTTGTTTTCCTATTCAAATATCAAATACGGAAAATATTAGTAAACAATGAAAAAATGTCAATTTTAGTCACTATAAAAACATGAGTTTAAAAAATGATCAATAAACAATGGATAAAAAATGTGCAAAGTTTTGGATTTAGTCATTGAACTAATTTTTAGTTCCAAAAATGGTCACTACACTAATTTTAGTGCCGAAAAATGGTCACTAAACTAACAAAATGTTACAAGTTTGATTTTAAAATGTAAATCAAAAAGTTGTTTGGACGTCAGTTTGTCTTGTATTGAATTTTGTGTTTAAGAGGTAAAATGAGTTGAAAATAAAAACTAAGTGGACGTCCAAACAAGCACACATTTATAAAATTTCCTATCACAAATACGGCGGTGGAAGTATTTGAAGATTGAAGCGGTGATTCTGTATTCTTATTTCAACCATTTTAATTGCAAACCAATAATTGATAGATACCTAAAACAACAAAATAACCATTAGTTATATTCTACGCCATATGAAACCCACATGGAAGGCCTTTGGATCATATGAACAATCAATATGGAAATTAAATGTCACTGTCTTAGATTGAGTAGCAGCCTGGTAATTAAGACGATGAAATAAAATATAAGTACGGATGTGAAACTCCAAAATATCAAAGAAAGGACACAAGTTGTGCAAGTTGATCACTAAAGTCCATTTTATGAAATTGACGATGTTGATCTCGCATTTTGCTATTTACCAAGAAGAAGAAGAAGAGAAAAAGATTGATTAATTTGCAAGGAGTACATGTGATTTGAAAACATGTATTCGCTCGTGTCTGAACAACAATTTTTCCTTACGTTATTTTAGTTTTAATAAACATAACTTCTCTTTTTTTTTTAAAGTTGAGGGATGAAATATCATATACAACAAGTTTTCAGTCGGTGGAATTTGATCATGTCTACAATTTGGCATGTCTTTTTAACCTCTTACGTGCATTATTGTAATTTTAATACTCCCTCCGTCCCATAATTATTGTTCACTTTGCCCCAAAAATTTTGTCCCAAAATTATTGTCCAATTTGACTTTTTATGGATCAAGTTACACATTTGTCCTTAGTAAAAAATATTATCCATAAAATCTTAGTGGTTAAACAATTACTTATGTAGGGGTATATCCGGTTGTTTAAGGTAAAATATAGTTAAATTTGACCAAAAATAAAATCTTTCATTTTAGTAAAATTGGACAATAATTATGGGATGGAGGGAGTATTAATGTTGTGTATATTATCCATTTCTTCTTTGTCTTTGTCGTGTTTATGTAGTTTTCATTATTTTGGTTCATCTTGCTCGTTAGATGACAACACATTGATTCTATTCAAATATCAAAATCATGAGAAACCAAGAATAATATATTCATTTCATAGGATGTCTTCGTATATTTTAACTTTATCATCATTTCACAAATTGAGAGGCACATAGATGGATTGATGTTTGAGTTCATTCTGATCATCATGAGTTACGTACTTATCTGAATTTTATCCAATTCCATTTTTCTCAAGTTTAAAAAAAAGAAGAAGAAAGAAATCCATAATGCCGACTTTAAAGTTATTAGTAGAATTTCAATATTTTAATATATAGCAGAAGTTAGACGAATTTATCTTTAAAAAAATGGATATGTATTTGGGTGTGTAAATTAATGAAGGAAAATGATAAATATAATGAAAATATGTACTGAAAAGGTATAGCGAGTGAGGTGTATCCGCTTTTTTAGTTAAAATAGTATTACATGACCCCCCTATTTTGTAGCCATTTTCTTGTAGAAAATTTTTCTTTTCCCCCAAAAATTATATTTTTTATTCTCAATTACAATGTCCACATCAGTCACTATAAAATGTCACTCTGGCTCTATCACTGCTCATTAACTAAATTATGTTCTTTTTTTAAAAAAAAAATTGTGGCGCTTATCTAATTATATATGCATTAATGGGAATCTAGGATTCTAGGTTGTGCAAAAAAAAATTTTTAAAAAAAAAAATCTATAAACGTTGATTCACACATGCATTTTCATCTGCTAAATTTTACCCAAGACATGATTACGGTAATCTAGTGCTAGCTTCTTCAATAAAGATTTGCCTAGTCATACACATGCATCCAGCTTCATTGTATGTTTTTGTTGGATAATGTACTCTAGTTTATTCCACCACCATCAAGTTTTTATCCAATTTCAAAATAACTGGTACTCTCCCATCTGATAATAAAAGGATAAAAGGAATACATATGCTATCTCAAAAAAAATAATCACATTAAAACCGAAAGAGTAATATTTACGAGATTGTAATTAATGTTACCGGAATAAGCAATCCATACAGTATTATTTGCTGATTAACCATACTTTAATTCCCGATAACGAGCGATAATATAATATATCCTTTTAGTCTCACTATCCTATCCAAATCTCATATAGGTTTTTTTGTCATGTCATAATTCTAAAAAGAATTTCAAATTCTAAACTTCTGTACATGTATTTAGCCTCTTTAATAATCTCGAAACATCACTAATGTATCCCCCATTTTATTAATAGCTTCAGAGGAATTTTGGCTTTTTATTATTATATAATTCACTTACTAGTAAGCATTAAGGAATCATATTTTTCTTCTAATTGGTCCGGTTGAACTTCTTTGCAGGATTTCTTCATCGATGGGGTTTCATTCTTTTATTTCTAAGATAGTGGTAGGTTATGCATTGAATTCATATTGAAAATTGATTATAACCATATTTTCAATAGATTTTGGAAGTAATTATGCTTCATTTTCCGGCACTCTTGGGATATATATATATATATATATATATATTTTTCTAATAATGTATAGTACATCTACAATACAATGTTAAGTTACATATTTGAATTTAATTGTGTTGTAAACGGTTTTGTCTATGAACAATATCTCTTTTTTTAGTCGTAAGTGTGCATTAGTTCACTACGATACCACCCTTTCTGTCCCAAAAAAAAAAAAATCACATTAAATTTTGATATTTGTGTTACGTTTATTACAAAATTGAAAATTAAATGTGGATTTTATTTTTTTTTTTAACAGAGGTATAACAACGGAAGGTGAATGTAAAATCAAGAGTGTGATTGGAGAAAATCATACGTATAACCTTCAATCATTTGCCTTTAATGGTCCCGTATTCCCAAAAGTACCCTAAATCAACTACTAGAAGAAAAAGTTCACAACAAGAGTCCATTCCATAAACAAATTTTTTTTTTTTAAAATAAAAAAAGGCCAAATCCCCAATAATAGAAGTAGAGAAAATGTGACTGAATCACACAGGAATCATGTTCTTGTCAACGTTCTGCTGAATAAGCAAAGCCAGAGCCATCCTCTTTGGGATCTCAAATCATATATATACTATATAAGAACTAAGAAGTACACCAGTTTGGCTTCGGCCTTGGACTAAAACATTGCAGCACGCGCCAACTCACGCGCACACACTCACACACTGCCCAAGAAACCAGCTTTAACCGGAGCCTTTTTTTTCTCTGTTGTTCTTCTACTGGCCGGCGAGTCTCCCGAAGGAGATTTTTTTCCTTTTCTTTCTCCATCATTAAAACAACATTCCACCATTCGGAAACCCAAGTTCTTGTGAGTTTTTCTTTTCTTTTTTTTTAATTTCTTTTTTTCTGCTTATAGGAATGCATGTCGACATGAAAGTCTGAAACTTTATACTGTTTCTGTTTCTATTTTTGGATTATTTTTTGGTTCAATGGAAAGAGCCCCTCAAATTCAGAGCAAAGATTCGTGGCAGGAATCTCTCTGTTCTGTTCATCGTTTCTTCGAGACTGGGTTCTTACCATAATTACGACATAAGAATTCTGACCCGTAATTTCAGGCCTTCACTGATTTCTTTCCTTTTCCTTTTTCTGTATGATTTCCACTCTGGTTTTGCGGGTTTTTTTTTTTTCTTTTTGCTATATATAGAGACATGCATGAATGTGTTTATTATTCTCTTTTATTTTTTGGAGAGTTAATTTAAGGTGATTAAATTATATTGATTGTTTGAAGGAATGTCATTAATGATTTTCCTGAATAATGATTTATAGTAAGTCAATAATATCTGGATCTAGCTCTCCATCCCTTCAATGAATTTGATAGATTATATATGCTTGTGCGCTGAATTTGACAATATTCTTTGTGTTTCTTATAAAGGGTTGAATTGAGAGTTGACATTTGATCAAGTTTTTCCAAGCGAGAGAGAGAGACAGAGACTGAGGAGAAGGAGATATGAAGAATTCTGTGTCAGAACAGAGTTTCTACATAGAAAGCGATGAGGAAGACGAGGAGAAGGCCGGAGAGAAAGCCGGCGAAAACGACGACGAAAACGATGTCGGAAATGATTCTGATTCTTCCGGTTATTCAAATGACAACGATAACAAACGTCAGCAGAGCCAATCAGTAACCCCTTCTTGGCCTCAAAGTTACAGGTATCACAGCATTTAATTCCCTCTTCTGTTCTCTTAATATCTTGTGTTCCCTTAAATTCAGAGATTTGTCTTGCTGCCCGTTCTTCCGTTTTAATTTCTGTTTTAAATTTCACGGATCCAACCACTGTAATAAAGGGCAATAAAGAGAGGGTTATGGAAGAGGCTGATTGGAAGTTTCTACTGCAATGATTTGTTCTCTTTCTGTAGATCTTTTTGGAAAAATTGTAATCAATGTTAGGCAGTTGAACCCCGGTGACAGTGAAAACGTATGCAATCTTATCTTCACATGTTGATTGAATAAAAAACAATTTACATGCCAGAGAGACAATTTTTGTCCTGTGTAAGATCCCTGATCAGCAGACTTGCTGAAGTGACCTGTGTTTTGGATGCATTGCTCAGGATGTCCACTGCCTTTGGATAAAAGGTTGCACCTTTTCCCTGACAGACTCGGGCTGCTGTTTTTGGGTCCCTTTTCAGATGTAGACTTGTTTCTGACACTCAGGCTGAAATTTCTTTGCACTTTTTTTAACAGCCAGAATGGCAGATTCTAGGAAGTAGGTTTCAGAAAGAAATGCAGACTACTTGACTGTGCTAAAGCCTGAATTAACCTTATTTCAACTTGTGTGGTTCGAGATGAAAATAGTTGATTAAAAGATCTGGGAAAAACTCCTTTGCATTATTAGTGGAGCATGAGCCTCATTCAATGGGATAAAGACTAAGTTTTTGTGGTTGCTGTGGTGTTAAGCACCACTGGTGATCATTAGTGGTAGTTTCAAACACAAATAATTCAGGTATTCATATGTGAACTAGTGTACTGATTTTGATTCAGCTCCTTAAACTTCATTACTCTTGTGTAATTTTTTTATGCGTTATTATAATATTCTCATTTTCAGGGAATAACCATGTACCATTTTAAATGCTTGTACCAGGCAGTCAATCGATTTATACAGTAGTGTACCATCCCCAAGTGTTAACTTCCTGGGGACGTCTTCTCTATCACGTTTTGGAAGCTCATTTCTTTCTTCCACACTGATACGGAGGCACACTCCTGAAGTACTACCTACTCTACAAAAACCTCTTATTGAGGAGCAGCCACCACAAGAAAGGCGCAGTTCGCACTCGCTGTTGCCTCCTGCTGGAAGGAAGTCTTCTATAAGGAAGGGGTCATATTATGACCGGAAAACATCCAAGGTCTCACACGAGGTTTCTCTTCCTCGGTCAAGCTCATATGGACAAGCTGTGGTAAATGGTAGGGACTTGATAAGTCAGTTGATAGTGGAAAGTAAAATTAGGTTATGTTTATTTTTATATTTACCAGTAAAGCTAGCTACTTATATGAGAGAACCGACATACACTTAATTTGCAGTCTGAAAGAGAATCCAACCAAAAAAATGAATCCCTTAACATTTAATATGGAGTTTCTTTTTTTGAACTATCTCAATTGTGCTCATACGCTGCATTTATGTATTTGTTTCATGCAGGTATTAATGTTCTTTGTGGTGTTGGGATTCTTTCGACTCCATATGCTGTCAAACAAGGTGGATGGCTTGGGATCTCTATTCTGTTGATATTTGCTGTCCTCTCTTATTACACTGGTATTCTTCTACGTTACTGCTTGGACAGTCAGCCAGGGCTCGAGACTTACCCAGACATTGGCCAGGCAGCTTTCGGAACAGGAGGGCGTATTGCTATATCTGTAAGTGTTTCGTTGACGGTTTCTGTCTGACTACACTTACACATGCAAGGTCTTTTGAACTCCCACAATGGGAAAGCTTTAATGTTTACAATAGAAACTACTGATTACTGACAGTGCCAATCTCTTGTATTTTCTATACGCAGATAATTTTATACGTGGAGTTATATGTAAGTGCATTTTTCTCAACTTGGAGGTTCTTAAAATTCAGATAGTAACTATATCATGGATCCTGTACATTCCCTCTTTGCAGGCTTGTTGCGTTGAATATATAATTCTTGAGGGTGATAATTTATCATCTTTGTTTCCTAATGCCCACTTGAGTCTGGGAGGACTAGAGTTAAATTCTCATCAGCTTTTTGCATTGCTCACGACCATAACTGTTCTTCCAACTGTGTGGCTGAGAGATCTTAGCGTGCTTAGTTACATTTCAGGTGAGTGTACAAATTTCCGTAGTGGACTTCCTTGAGAAAAAAAAGAAATTTTTGCTTACGGGTATCTTCAAGTTTTCATTCTTTAGGTGTCTGCAATAGCTAGTATCAGACCATTTACCAGTAAAGGATAAAAAAACATTGTTGTCTAATGCTCGATACGTTCGATGATGAGTCTGAAACTGAGATGATCTTCATCTGATAACATTCTCAAGCATATCAGTACATAGATATTCACTTGTTAAAGCTAAATGGTGGATGGTTATGTATCATTTTTATTGACCTGGATGCCTTCTTCTCTTTTTAGCTGGAGGAGTGATCGCTTCAATATTAGTAGTTTTATGCTTATTCTGGGTGGGCTTGGTGGATCAAGTGGGTTTTCAACCCAATGGCACCACTTTAAATCTCACAACTCTTCCAGTCGCTATCGGCCTATGGGGTTATTGCTACTCAGGCCATGCTGTTTTTCCCAATATCTATACATCAATGGCCAAACCAGGGCAGTACAATGCTGTTCTTTTAGCCAGGTAAACTTATAGATAAGAGTCATCCTGCATAGTGTCAAATTGATAGATGCAAAAGAGAAAAGTCAGAGAAATTTATATCTTCAAAAATCTGGATATAAGTCCATCTTTCTCATCTGTGGAATCTAGTTTTGGAATATGCACCGTGATGTATGCGGGAGTTGCTGTATTCGGATACTTGCTGTTCGGAGATTCAACACAATCACAGTTCACTCTTAACCTGCCACAAGATTTAGTTGCCTCCAAAATTGCAGTTTGGACGACGGTAGGTCATTTAAAATTCTGTCATATCACATGTCAGTCAGCCTTTTATTTTCAACTTTTAATTTTGTTTTTGGTTGTAGGGATATGTTTATCATGTTCAGTGTGAATTCAAAATAGTATTTCTTGCTGATTGTTATGTACTTATGGTAACATTTTGCTTCTTTAACTCCTTTGCAGGTTGTGAATCCATTTACAAAATATCCTTTTGAGTGACAAAGAGCTTCTAGTATAACAAATATTGCAGAGTTAAACATCAGTTCCTAAGAACTGTTAAGAACAACTGCAAGTTTTTAACAATCCTCCAAATTGAATATTAAGCAAAAGTTATGAAAGTTTTATCTGAATTTTACTATGAAACTGCACTTTCCTTAATTCAAAACACATATGCTTTGACCATGACCCCAGTGGCCATGTGTCTGGAGGAATTGATACCTTCAAACCACGTCAAGTCGTACATATATTCAGTCCTCATACGGACGGGGTTGGTTGTCTCTACCTTGCTTGTAGGTCTCTCTGTTCCCTTCTTCGGTAAGTCTCTCTGCTAAAACTAGATTCAGTTCGGTTTCTTCATTGTTGTTGCCATATATAGTATGTTAGCTTGACGTGTTCTGAAAGTTTTGACAATATACCATTGCCAGAATATCTGCCCTATATGATATTCTGATTAATACCATTTTAAAGAATTTCTGAGTTTTTGTTTTGATTTCAGGTTTGGTGATGGCGCTCATTGGATCTTTACTTACAATGCTAGTGGTAAGTTATCCTGTACTGCTATTATTCCTCTTTTCTTTTCCATTTCTTTACATTTCATGAGCTGATTGAAACATGTTTTTGCTAGACGTTGATACTTCCTTGTGCTTGCTATCTTCGCATCTTGAAGGGGAAAATAAACCTAGTCCAGGTAAAACCATCTTATGCCATTCTCACAAATGCATTTTAGTGGTGCCATGAAAATTGCAGTCCTTAAAAACATGCTAAGACAAACCTGCTAAGACAAGCTATGACTAGATTACCACTTCGAAACCTATCAACACAAAAATATGACTATATCGCAAACTCTATCTAATCCATGCTTATACAATTGACCTGACATTTCAAAAGACCTGACTAAAATTCTTATTCATTTTACTAAGTTCTTTGTTTTCTTCCACCTGTTTTGCAGAAATCGATATGTATACTAATCATAGCAGTTGGAGCTGTGTCGTCGGCTTTTGGATCATATTCTGCCATCTCCAAAATTGTTGAGAACTTGAGCAGTTAATTAAAACATCTCAAAATTTTGTTTGTGATATTGCTATAGTAGGGATAGGACTTCTTTTTTTTTTTTTTTTATATATTCTCAAGGGAAGACTATCTCCTTCCATCTCAAGAAATGAGATTTTTCGAAGGGTAGTTTACCAAATTCTGTGTCACTTGACCATAAACGGTTTCTATATGGTTTTTACAGTGGAATTAAAACTCAGATGGTGTTGAGTGAGTAGCATACAAACTTTGAGCTCCTTTATGCAACATTTTGTTTTACATATATACATGCTATTTCCGCTTACGTTATCAAATCAGTCTTTTTTGGCAATTAATGACTCTTTTTACAGTAAAATGTTTTATCTTTCTTTTGGGGTCTGTTTTTATGAGAAGAATTAATGAGGGTGGTGATTTTGTGGAAGAAAAAATAATAGGAGTATTTGGGTGAAAACAAGTTTTTGGAGATATCACAAAACAAAAGCAATTTTTGGAATATTTTGAGGACACAAAACCATATTTAGAACCCGAGTCAAAACATAGCACTAATCCTAATTCTATGCTTTGATGTTTGAATTACTTTTGCTTTCATTTTATACCCAGAAATAATTAATTGCGTTGGTAATGCTGTTAATATATTATCAATTTTCCAATTTTAAATAGTGATAAAAATATTGGTAGTAGAATGGACTAGTAATAGCGCTTCATCGTAAAATAATTTTTTTTTTTTAAAAAAAAAAACCTCTTTGTAGGCTCTTAAAAAAAATTAATATGTATAGTGAAAAAAATAGTGATAAAAATAATACTCCATTGACTGATGGTAGCATTGATTTCCCTACCCCTAAGAATGGATGAAGGTTAATTTTGATGGGAATTTCAATCGTGAGATGGGAATGATAACTACGGGTGTAATTGTACGAGACTATTATGAGAAATGGTTAGACAGATTTACAATGAATATTAGTTTTTACATTATTATGGGAGCCGATTATGAAATCTTTTTCAGGTTTTGGTTCTAGTATGGGAGTTTGGTGGTTGTAAAATGAAAATGAAGGCGGAGAATATGAACATTATAACTATGCTGCAGGGTAGGAAGAATGTTCAGGGATGAGTGTTGGAATTTTGCCTGGTATTCAAAAGCTTTTGAGTAGAGATTGAGTGAACGAAATTCAGACATGTATTTCAGAAGATTAACTTTGTAACAGATTATTGGGTGCCAGTAATGGTACAAGGACCAAATGGGTTATAATGACTTATAGATCTACCAATAAGTTCAAAATCATGTTTAAAACACGATTCAATTGAGGTAATATGCCGCGAGTAATGTATTTGTTTGATGTTGCTAAGTTTTTGTGTCTCTTTTATTGTAACCAAAAAAAAAAAAAATCTCCGCATAGTCTAAATAAATAGTTCATATTTGAGTTTTGAGATTTTTTTTTGCAATACAAACTAAAAAAGCTAATTTGTTAATCAATTATGCCTAGTGAAACTTAAACACAAGTACAACACAAACACTTGGACTTGATTATCATTTGGGCAGGATCAAGTTTTTATTTGATGAGATCTTTAAGAACCGAAGGACCAAAAGTATTAACTTTTGAAAATGATGGATCAAAATTAATACATCCATACTACAGTTCTACATACTACTATTGGAGTATAGTACCAAAAAGAGGGAAATACTAAACCTAACGTTGCAAATTGCGATTCGAATTTGCCCACCATTTTGATTATTCTCCGATGATTTGATCACATCCCTCCGGATTGTCCACCATTTTTGTTTGTTTCTCCTCAAATTCCCCACCAAACTCTTCCAGGGTTAAAGGATTTGTCCTTAAAAACTCCCAACTCCCCTGATAAAAAAACGCGCACACACACACACACAGAGTAAAAGATTGATAAACATTCAAGAATATGTCCAACCTGGTGAAATTAACTTCATCGTCGATACAGATTCTGCATACACGTGAACCTAGAAGATTGGAGTTTAGAATTGTTTCTTTGCTTCCGAATGCAGTGACTCAATCGAACAAAACTGGGAGAATCCGTCTAATTGAAGGTGGGAATGTTCATCAAGGCAGGAAATTTTTGGCCTACAACGGTGAAATTGGTGGGTCTGTTCAGTCCCTGGACAACGCCCCGGTTTCAATTGAGCTGGGGTCCATTGTGAGCGAAACCCAGTTCGATCGGGTCATGGCTGAAGCTCAACAGCTCGAAGAACCCATCATAATTGTATGGTATGTTAAGTTCTCAACTTGTCACAATGAATTGGCATGTTATTCTTGATCACGTGTTCTATTTTAGATTTTATGTGGGCGAATTTGATTTATCAATTATATATGATGAAGATGATTGAATGGCATGAGTCAGTTATGTTTTTTTTATCGGAGTTTCATTTTCCCGTGTTAGGAGATTGCACCCATCGATAATAAGACAGCTAGATGTTTCCTAAGTTTGCTGATAAGTCTATGTCATATATTCTTTATAGTCCGGTGCGATTTCTTGTTAATTTTCTGTATCTGAATTTGTAGCAAAGAGAATCTGTTTTCTGGTTGTAAGTTGGGTGGTCAGGTAGAGTATTGGAATTTCCTGATGGAGACAGTATGGTTTTTAAAGCAATTCTTTGTCTATGTTACTACTAAAAAAGTTCCTTAGACAAGTTTTGAAGCCCTAATACCCGAGAAGAGGTGTTTTACTCTTACATCTGTATTTGGAGGTTGAGTACATATCTGGTCGCTATTTGCGGTTGGCATTAAGCACAACAGGTCTGCGTTTTAATGACAGGGGCTACTGGAATAAAGAAAGATGACAGATTTGTTGCAAAAATTTCCAACTTTTCAATTCTTGTTTGCTGAGTTTTTACATGGTTGTCTATGTTCTTGGTAGCTTATAAATACTTCCACTTACGGCTAAGTGCTAACAGGTTTTAGTAATGGATTCTAATGTAAGGAACACATATTAGAAGTATCCTGTTGTGTCATCTGATATGCTTGCTGCTGTTTGGTATAAATAATTTGCAAAACAAGATGTAATCTTCTGATGGAAATCCATTCCAAGAATCCCTCTGTGAAGCTGCTCTCATATGTTGGTTCTTTTTTTCATACATTTTTATTTGTGCATATGTTGAGTTAAACTTGGCCTCGCTATAGTCACTGGCCTTATAGAGAGTATTTATTCCTAGAGGAGGAACTTAAGCTTATAGAAGTCAGAATTGTGCTGACTGCAGGATGGCAAGCTGGTGCAGGAAATGCATATATTTGAAACCTAAACTGGAAAAATTAGCTGCTGAGTACTTTCCAAGGTCAGTTGGCGCAGTATCTTCTTCTTTCACTGTTTGATTATCAAATTTATTATCTTTTGATCATATAAATGTCTGATGTAACTTTATTGACGTGTGCGTGGAGTTTTTCTACACTGACCTCATAAGAGATCCCTTTGATAGTTCTGGTGTCCTGATTACCTTTAGCTGGTTACCCAGGAAGTTAGTATATATATATGAGTAAGGTTTTGCTTATTGACATTTAGGATTTTAAAACTTCATAGGTGAATTGTAACTCAAGCATCATCGACACTTTCTTTGTTGCTTTTCATGTATTTTAAGTTACTTATTATATCACACATGATTTATCCATTTTAATTGTGGGACTCTAGCCCTTGCACTTAGTAGTGCCTCTTCTTGCACTGTATATTAATGCCAAAAAAAAAAGTGTTTTTTTTTTTTAAGTTCTGACCTCTTTCTCAGTCTCCCTCTTGCTTGATGTGTATTTGAAAATGCTTTCGCATTGATGCAACAGTTTCTTTACTGGTGCAGAATACGCTTCTTTCATATTGATGTCAATAATGTTTCACACAAGCTTGTTGTTCGAGCAGGAGTAACTGTAAGTTCCTCTCTAACAGTTGAAGTCCTTTAAACAAATTTAATTTCTTGGATCAAAGTTCATGAAAATCTAACTGTGGATGTGTTTCCCCCTTCCATGTATTTTGTATGTATCTGGCAAAATGGCAGAAAATGCCAACCATACAGGTAACTCCAGCTAAATTCTTCAGAAATTTAGACAGTGTTTTAAATAACATTGTATTTGATCTTTATAACAATAGTAACATGGTAGAACACTTTGTAACAGCTGTGGAAGGATGGTAAGAAACAGGGAGAGGTGATTGGAGGGCACAAAGCACATTTAGTTGTCAATGAGATTCGTGAAATGATCGAAAGCGAAGATTCTTTGTGATTTGTCTGAGGTTATTATCCTTTTAGTTGTCATTTTGGGCAGTTAGTAGTTAGCATTAGCTACAGATATAAAAGGTTTTGCCCTTTATACATGCCATTTCTACTGACACTGTGAAACTCTCGCCCGGCGTTACCAAGTGGTGAGAATGGGAAGGACGAAAACCACCTCGCCTTTCAATTATTAGTTCATCAAACCACACAATTTTAGTTTTGGAACAGTGAAGAGCCAATCCTGTGGGATGCGCCTACTTTTGAGCAGTACATATATTTTACCATCTTCAGAACTGATTTCTTTCCAAGTATATATGTCCCCCTTTTTTTATTTTTCTTTTTTGTTTGTACTTGCAATTCAAGAAGAAACATCTTATGGAGAGTTATCTGATATCTCCAATGCTTGTGGCCTTCTGCATCATGCTACATTGTTCACAATATCACAAGGGTCTATTCTGAAGTTCAATTACTTTGCTATTTTGCCTCGCTAAGGGATGTGGCTCGAGTTAGTGATCCGATAAATCTAAATCTTGTGTACATTGATAACTAGATATTAAAATTTATTTAGGATAAGAAATGTAGATATGCACTAGTCTGATCAAAGTTTTTGGTACGTCAAGTTTGGTTTTTTCCTAAATCGAGTTATCGTGTCAGAAATGATCAGTAAACAGTTTAATTTAGACCGGATAGAAGAAAAGCCGGAAAAAAAAAAGCCAACTATAAAAATCATATGTCTTGGCCCGGGACCAGTCCCATGCAACGTACAGAGGGAAACCTTAGGCAACTGAAACCTACAAAAATGCTAATCCTTAACAACTCACGTTGGTTCAAACTCCCCAGTTCCCTAAATCAAATCTACATCTATGAATCTATCATCAACATGGACCAATAAATAATTTAGGATTCTATAAAGTACAAAAAAAAGAAAGAAAAAACAGAAGTACTTAATGATCACAACCAATAAAAACCCAAAAATATTCGGGGGAACTTCCAATTGAATTTTTTCATGCATGATGACGGTGGCATCCATCGTATTTTGTCTGAGTTTACTTAATTAATTTCTTCGAGTTTCTTTCCTTTATTCTTCCATCCCGAAAGAAGAAAAAAAAACCTATACTTTTTACCCTTTCCAGTTGTTTCCTGGAATTTCGTTTTGGAAATTTTACGTAGAAAATAGGCCAATAAGAAGAAACACCCCCAAAAAAAAAGGCGTGCTTTGTTTGTTGTTCAGGATTAATTAGCTGCTCGTCCGTCCCAATCCCTTATTCGATTCTGTTCAATTGCACCCAGGTTAGTGTTTATTTGGATATTTATTGTTATAATCTTCAAAGGGCTTTTAATAATCTGCGTAAATTTTACAATGTTGGGGTCAGAAAGTGATAAAGATCATCTTTTTTTTGTGCATGTATATGAATTGTATCAAATTAATTTGGGTTGCTTCTAGAGCTCTGTTTTAATTATCCCTGGGGGGATGGCTTTCTGATTCTTTAATGCCCTTTATTAACGAGCATTTTTTTTTTTTTGTCTTATGATGGTTGTTTTATTTTGTTCGTTTATTGTTGTAATTGTTAGGTTAATTTTTCTTATTTTGTTGGAATATTAGGAATTGAAGAGATGGTTAATGAGGGTTGGAAAGATAACATCTTGATTTCGAGTGAGGCTCTAAAGACTAATAATTCTGGTGGTGATAATGTGATGTTGAGAGGGTCAAATTCAAGAGGGGATTTACAGAACAGCAATAGTCTGGCTAATGAGCTTGAATTATTGGTACTTCAGAAAGAGCAACAACATAGGCAGCAGAGAAACCTGAATTTGTTAGTTGAGGGTGATAGGGAATTTGGTATTCACCGGAGTGGTAGCGCGCCTCCAACAGTTGAGGGAGCTTTTAACGCCGTTGGAAGTGTCTTGAGGAATCCCAATTTTGCATTGCATGATAATAACAATGCTGCCGCTACGGGTGGTAATCATGGAGTTTTGACAGAAGAAGAGATTAGATCACACCCATCCTATTTGGCCTACTATTATTCCAATGAGAATCTTAATCCCAGGTTGCCTCCACCACTGTTGTCAAGAGAAGACTGGAGAATTGCACAGAGGGTTCAGGCTGGAGGCTCCTCTGCTGGTGCCATTGGAGACCTAAGGAATACGAATATGGTCGATGATGGTTCTAGCTCATTCTTGCTCCCAATGCAGCCTCGTCTCTCATTGCAGAAGGCAGAAGACGAGTTGATAGAGTTGAGGAAGGCTGCAGTTAGAAATCTGTCCCGAAAAAATTCTACTGATTATCTTGAAGGAAGCTCATCAGGTATGGCGGGAATGCCAAACCCTGGAATGGGCACGAGGAAAAAGAGTTTTGCAGATATAGTCCAGGTACAGTACCTTTCATCTATGAAATTCTACATTTTCTTTTGTGTCCCTTGGTATTTTTTTCTTTCCATCGGCGGAAATCATGGTTAGGTTGAAATGCACACGAGCACATTGAAGTTTTGATATAGTAGTTTGACCTTATGGAATTGAGGTTGGAGGGATTACTATTACATGGCCAGTTATTTGTCTGGATTACCATGATCCGGTCTATTATAATTATTAATCCCTTATCATATTAGATGATTTATCTGAATCTTGGTTGATGATTTGGATTGTAAGGTCTAGCAGCAGTTCGAACTTGATTACTGTATATGTACCTGGCTGAAAGTTTCTTCATGATGATAAAAGGCAATCTGTTAATGTTTACGAAGATCTTTCCTCATGCCATAGAAGCTTATTTTTGAGTTAGTTACAGAATGTGGATGCATTGTGGTTCAGATTTCTCGTATGAGTCACGAATGAACTGTTTGTTCCAGAAAGTAACCAGGGTAATCCAAATCACAGAGTTTCTAAAAGTCAGTAGATCCAGAGACTAGTTTCTAGAACAGAACAATATTTCATTTCAGGAAAAGTTGCATCAAACTCTTTTGCCAGATTCCCGATTGAATTCACATGCACTACTTTTCTTTTTCTAGAATATGTAGAGAGTGTAGATCTGTTTCAACATTAAGCAGTTTGTCTTCAAATATTGTGTACCTGATGTAAATTTTTTATGTTCTCACTCACTTCATCAATCTACTAAAGTAATCATTCCATCCTGCTCATCTGTTCAACTGTATTGGTTCCCGTTACAGGAAGGACGCAGCCAACCTGCCATCTCTGCAGGTCGTCTCTCACGACCTGCAAGCCAAAACTCAGTCGGTGATATCTTAGATACAAGTAACGTATCTGAAGCCTCTTCCTTGGAGTTAAAAAATAAAGCAGACGCGTTTGATGCTTCACATCCTGGGCAACTTTCCCCGAGCTCATCTAGGAGAGTTATGCCTGGTACTTTTACGTCAAATATGGGGTCATCTTTGGGTTCTCCTCCTGGGTTTCCTACTGCGGCTGGTAGAGTTTCTTCTGAGGATAAAAAAAAGATAATTGATGATAAATTACATGATCTCTCATCTCATGACGCTGACGTTTCTCATATTTTAGCTTCTTTTCCTGGTAGTGAAGGTGCTCCTTTTTCAACTTCAAATCAGATCGCTTTTTTAAACAGTCATCAGCCGAACTTGCAGCAGCAATATTTTGATAATGAGTTTGCTTGGGGAAACAGAGTTTCACCACAATCCAATAATCGCAACTTCAATTTTGACAGACAAGCAAACCTTCACAGAAAATCTTCTTCTCTTGTAAATCTACAATCTCTAGTAAGTCCTGAGTTTGCAATGTTCGAGGAACCTAAGAACCAGTACCGGGGTAAATTTTTGTTTCATATTAGCTTTCCTTGTCTTGGACATACTTTACATCTAGTTATCCTGTCACAAACCTTAAAACAAGCTCTTGTTTCACTTACTATGTCTTGTATGCAAGTTTAAGGTCCTGTTATGAAGTTTTTTCACTAGAACTTTTTGATTTAATGTATTTTAGGTTCACATTTGGGTACGGGCAACTTGAATGGACTGGGCATAAGGAGAGGCGGCAACTTGGGTCGCTCTAACCTTCATCCTCCAGATGTACATGACACTCATAATTTAGAGAGATCCACAAATCATACAATTCATGCAGCAGCAATGCCAAGAAATCAGTCGCTACTTAGAAGTTACGTTGGCTCTTCTCACCCAGACTTGCGGGAGTTGGAGAGAATGTACATTGAAGCATTACTTGCACAGCAACAGCAGGTGCAGTTTCAGTTGCCGCTCTTGAGCCCTCAGTCTGGGAACTCCCCACTTGGCCAACATATGTATCAAGGGAACAGGATGACAAATTTGCTTCATCCTACAATGGACTCTGGAGGTTATAATTTTCTGAATGGGCAGATTTCTCGGATGCCTAGGACACTGAAAAGTCAATTGGGAGGATCTCCTGGTTCATGGAGTCCACGCAGTGGAACTATTGTAGAGGGGAAATTAGTTTCATCATTACTAGAGGAATTAAAGAACAGTAAGGGCAGGTCGCTTGAACTTTCAGATGTTATTGATCACATTGTTGAGTTCAGGTAGGCATCAAGTATAAGGCCTCCAGAGTATTTTTTTTATAGTTTCATAGTTTGCTTCTTTTGTAAAACCCTTCTGAAGTTTCTTTCTGAATTTTGCCTCTTCCTTTATCTTATAGCATGGATCAATATGGAAGTAGATTCATTCAGCAGAAGCTAGAAACTGCCTCCACAGAAGAGAAGATCAAGATATTTCCACATATCATCCCACACGCTCGAGGTTTGATGACAGATGTCTTTGGAAATTACGTGATACAGAAGGTAGTCATCTTTTTACCCCATAGTGATAGTCAAAAAAGTCCAAAAATTATTGATGCATAAGTTACTTGAAAATTGCAGTTCTTCGAACATGGCACAGAAAGTCAGAGAAAAGATTTGGCCAACCAGATTATTGGTCATGTTTTACCTCTCAGTCTTCAAATGTATGGTTGCAGAGTAATTCAAAAGGTTTGGACTCAAGCTTTACGTGAACTTCATTAATGTTCATTTAATGAGAGGGAAGAGTCAGATATATGGGTAGCTATAAGTCTCACAATGATTCCATTCTTTCCTGATGACATTTCACAAATTTGAATTCCTGACTTTTAGGCCTTGGAAGTGGTTGACATTGAGCAGCAAACACAAATGGTGTCGGAGGTCAATGGCTCAGTTATGAAATGTGTCCATGACCAGAATGGTAATCATGTTATTCAGAAGTGCATTGAATGTATCCCGCAAGATAAGATTCAGTTCATAGTCTCATCCTTTTACGGACAAGTTGTGACCTTATCTACCCATCCTTATGGTTGCCGAGTTATTCAGGTTTGGTTCAGCCGCTTTATGTTTAATTCTTATTCAAACTGCCTCGCAATTGTCCTGAACGCTCTTTCTTGTCTCAGAGGGTCCTGGAACACTGCATTGACCCAAAAACTCAGCAAATCGTCATGGATGAAATAATGAAATCTGTATGTGCTCTGGCACAAGACCAGTATGGCAACTACGTGATTCAGGTCAGCAGTCACCTTCCACAGTTAGCTTGCGATTGTTTAGATTTCGGTGAACCCTTTTTCGAAAGTAGAAGCAGCGGCTCTGCAGATCGATGTAGTATAAATGATTTTCTCTGATATTTTTGTTTTTCTTGTTTGAAATACAGCATGTCTTGCAACATGGAAAACCTCATGAACGATCTGAAATTATTGCCAAGCTTGCTGGGCAGATTGTAAAGATGAGTCAGCAGAAATTTGCTTCTAACGTCATTGAGAAGTGCTTAACTTTTGGCGGTCCTGAACAGCGTCAACTTTTGATTAGTGAGATGCTAGGTTCCACTGATGAGAATGAGCCATTACAGGTATGCTGAAAATTATGCTCAAAATCCAGGAGAAATATTCATCCCGAATATCCAAAAAGATTGAATTTTTATCATGTACACAGTTCGGGTGGGACTTTATCTGCATGGCTGATATTCCTTTTGTGTTTGATTCTCTTTTGGATAACCGTCTAATTGCTCCTCTTCTAACTAAAAGTGTATATATATGAACATTGCAGGCTATGATGAAAGATCCCTTTGGAAACTATGTTGTGCAGAAGGTTCTCGAGACATGTGATGATGAAAGCCGTGAGCTAATCATCGCGCGCATCAAAGTGCACCTGAACACTTTAAAGAAGTACACTTATGGGAAGCACATTGTTTCTCGCGTCGAAAAGCTCATTGCCACTGGAGGTGAGTAAACTATGACCCATTAACCATTATGGATTTTTGTCAACTTAGTTTGCGCCTAAATTAATGATACCATACATTTTCACTTACAGAGAAGCACATGGGAGCATCCTCCACTTGATACGCGTTCCCGAGTTTCAAACCCTACCTTATTTGGACATAAATCACTTGTGCAGCTTAAAAAAGATGATAGGTCATTGAACTTTGTTTCCCCGGCTCTGGATCGCCTTTCCACTATATGGTTGAAGCTTCTGAAAACTGTAAATACGAAATAGAAATCCGTTCAATCGGTAAGGCTAGAATAAGAAGAGATCTGCACATCTTTTCCGTGCATGAATGTGTACAGAAGAAGTCGATCTTTTGCGAGGGAAAGTTTATAAAATGTATATCCTTCATTAGATCTCTTCTGTAAATGTTGCTTTTTTCAAATGCTCATCTATATATATGTAGGCTGTTTGTGATTATCTCTAGGAAGCATTGTTGATACTAAGAACTTATCAGAGAAATGGCTGGATCTTCTCGGAAGACTTATATTGTCATTGCTTGATTCTATCTTTTGCCAATTACAGATTTGAGACCGTGTATCGAAAGTTTTTCTCTTTTTGTTTTTTTTTTTTCGGGGCTGCATAAAAGGTTTAAAAAAGAAAACCAAGAAATATTCACTCAATTTTCTTAAAAGTTGGGGTCATGAGATGGAGAGACTCTTGACATGCGCCTCTTGCTTGAACTTTCGGTGTTTTGTATGATCAGACTGAATTCTAGGCGGAATGCTCCATGAGTGACACTCGAAACTTGATTGAGTTATGGGGAAAGTATCTGTACATTTTTCCTTTAATAATACTACTTCCGTCCCAAAAAAATAGTCCACATTGAGTTTTCAAATTTGTATTAAAAACAATACAAAATTCAAAACTTAATGTGGACTATTTTTGTGGCAGGGAGGGAGTAATTTATTAGTTTAACAAGAAGGCGGAACAAGAAGGCGATTTTCGGCCGAGTGAAAGCATTCGACAGCCATTTCAATATGGTTCTTGAAAACGTCAGGGAGACCTGGACTGAGATGCTGCTGCCCAAGACCCGAAAACGCAAGATGAAAGTTCTTAATATAAACCAAACTCAACAAGAAACAGATATGAGACTGGGAACAAAGTCCAACATGGTAACTGAGACTTGTTCAGAACCAGATGTCCGAATGACGTACAAGAAAGCGTTCATTAGCGAGATTTTTTTCCGAGGATATTCCATATTCATTGTTTCCCGGAACCCGGAACCAATCAGACGAATAGAGCACACCCAATTGTCAGCAAAAGTATTTTCTTCAACGTTAGTATCATTGCACTAGTTCATTAATTGTTCACTTTCGTAGTGGTCGTGATCGACAAAAGTTATCATTACTGCTTTATCTGAGTACTAATTAAAAAAAAAAATAAATTGGATCATGTATTTTTATTTTGCTCATCTCAACTTGTACATAGTCACGTCTGCAAAAACCTAAAAAACGACTATTATTTACAAAAAGAATAGTGGTATCTAATGCCTACTAGAATCAAAGCTGGAACTCTCTTATGTACATGAAAAGAAATGTATAAAATGATGACCGTCAGCCAATTTTATCCTAGACTCCGCAGGCTGATCCTGGAATGCTTATCTCCTCTTTTCATGGCTGCAGATGCTGCGAGAAAAGAAGATCTGTAGACAGTAACAGAATTAGACCATGGCCACAGGCCACCACCACTTCTTTTTTTTCTTGGTTTCTAACACAGGATATTCTGCAAATAACAGCGTCAAAATGAAAACATTTCATTTCAGGGAGAGCTAAAACGAAGTACAGATACTATGGAAACCATGCTAAGATGTAAAAGAGAGGCTGTTTGACGTCACGCTTTACCTCCTGGTGGGTAAATGGAGTTGTAATGTACTTCAGCCCAAAAGCTCAAAGTGATTACTGCAGAAAAAATAAAATCAATCGGCATCACCAATAAACATACCGTCAAACTCCTCAATTAAGAAGGCACTTGAAGCACTAGTGCTGGTGAATTTGTGAAATCTCCAATTATAAATAGCAGTAAAAGAAGTGATGGTGTTTACTTTTGTCCAATTTCTTCTTGTTTCTTGAGATGATCTCACTAAATTGATCACAGTGCAAGAAGATAATATGACTTACCTCTATCCGATTTCTGAACTTGCGGAAGAATCTCAATGTAGCACGTGTCTTTGAATGACGTAATCACAAATATCCTCACACCGTACTGTCAGATAAAGAAGCACATAGTAAGAATAAGACAACTGTACACAAATTTCAAAAGCAGCAAAAGGGATCAAAGCTACAAAAATATGAACAGAAAAGAGAAGAACGGAGGAACTAAGCAATCAAATAATGCAGAAAAGTCATATTTTTTTGTCGGTAAGAAGAGGCAATGATTGAGAAGAAATAAACTGCGCATGGCAAACGGTCTAATCTCCCACCAAAACCATGATTCCAAGTGAAACTAGTTGAAACACAATTTAGTCACTTCTGATCCCTAGAAATTCATTTTGTCAACGAGAACTATCTCTGTGCAATTTTCTCCAAAGCACAAGAGGCGAAACACAGAGAAAATCAAGAGACTAGCTCAAAAATATGCAACCTTTACTCTTATGAAGTTATTAACAGCATGAATACATTTCCAGGAAGGAAAACAATGATAGGTCTAAAGAAGGAAAGTGAGATAGCTCACCGCATCTGCAGCAGCCTGCAGTGTGACATGATCACCCCATTCACCATTCCTGCAAAATTAATCTTCATTAATGAAGAAAAAAGAATAAGCGAGTGGCTAAGAAAGCCTTATGACAAAACATCAAAATAATGATTGTGTATAGAACCAAATCATACTTGGTCATTCTCTTCAGATACTCATCATATGGCATGGGAACATAACCCTCATACAATTCTGGACGAGATTTCAGCTGATAATTGGCATATTGAGAACATCAACATTTGATAGTCGCAAAAATTTGACAAGAACTAAAAAAAGTAGCTACATCAGGCACAAATAGTCAGTGTACCTGGTCTACAACTTGCTGCCTAACAAACTTGTGATGCTCAGGAGTGCGATATATTTGATCTGACAACGATCGGAACTACGAAAGAAAAATATTAAAAATTTAATTAATGAAAAAAAATGGACACCCAAAACTTAGTAATCATAAGCATTCAGCAGCCAAATAAAGGAAACACAATAGAAAATTGCAATCTATCTGAGATGTATAAAGGACTTTCTTTAACAAAATTGCAATGAGAAATAACGACAGAAGAAAAATAGTTTCCACAGGACATAAGAGAGAGGGGGAACAAAAGAGGTCTTCAGATGCACCAGAAAAGCATGCAGGAATTAAAGCATCACAAAAACCCAGATTCAGTAGGCCAGGGGAACACTTTCAAAGAAACTATTGCAAAAAACATGATACATAATTATGTGATTCTCACCAACAGGGGAAAAAAAAAAAAGAACCATACAGCTAACCTTGACTGTGTGACGAAACATGGAAAGATGTCAAAAAAGGAATACAAACACGAAAATAATCTCATAAAAGTTTATTGAATCATTTTAATAAGATCTTACAGTAACAAATACATGTACTCACTCACATATTCTATAATAAGAATACACAAATTGATACTCCAGAAAAAAGTGTATTAAACCAACCTGGCAATTGCCATCTCCCGAAACTTTCAGCTCAATTAAGTCGTATAATTGCAATCTGAAGACAGTGTGAAGAATCATGCAGTTAGGATTCAATGAAGACTAAAACTGTCTTCTTCACATAAAAAGGTGTAACTAGCAAAATCACGAGTAAAATAGAATAAAGAAGCAACCAAAGGAACAGAATCTCATCATCACCATAAATATTCTAGTGCCTAAATTCCCTAAGCACTGAGAGCAGAACCCACATGTAAGACAATATATTTGATGAATTCCCTGATCAATATTAAAAGGCCAGAGCACTAGTTATTTGGAAAGCACTAGTTAAAAAGCCAGATCACTGACTGTAAACCCTGAACAAACTAAAGTAATAAAAAATACTTCATATAAACAACAGACACTTGCAATATAAAGGAGAAAGCTATGAACTACCTGTCTAGTAGTCTTTGATGATCAGATGTAGCTTCATCTGCCGAAGGTATCTCTCCATTAATTTTAGGAACATGCTGCATTACAAGTGAATGTGCAAGGAAAAGTCAACTAAATTACCAAATATCCAAGAAGTAAGCAGGAAACATGTGAAAACAACTCCCACAGATCGCAAGTGTCAACAGGACAGAGAAAATGCAAAAGAAATATAGCACGTACTAAGAAATCACCAAAATAAAGACCAAACCCACAAGTTAAGGAGTTGGCTTGAGGCTACAAAATTTAAGGAAAACAAACATCTTTACTTTCGCCATGTAGGGATTTGTTACTAGAATCCTTCACAGATATCAACATTCAAGTGAAAAAGTTGAAATTCTCCTCACAGCTTGCCTACATGGATACAGCAATTTCATATATAGAATGAAACTAAACATGTTGTTGATGCCAAATGAAGCAACAGAATAATAAACTTACAGGAACAGGACACATTTGATTCAACCGCTTCCCAACTTCTCCATCAAGAATAGAATCATCTTCTATCTCAGGCGAACCTAATTCATCATCTTCTGCTCCAGCAGTTCCTCCAGGGCTGGAACACACTTTGAATAATCCCACTTCATCAGCAGCATCCTGAGCCCGCTGACAATCTAAATGCCAGAGAAACTCATCAGTTCGACAAATCAATCCAAAAGAATAGAGTTCCCAGCCAAAAATAAAAGCTTTACACCTTCTCATACCTGAAGAACCATACCAATCCTGGGCAAGAACCGACTCTTGCTGATGCTCTTGGTTGGGGTTTGATGATCTCATTGATTCTACAGCTGCAAGTCGAGAAAGTTCTTCTTGATAAGCACGTGCAATTGTCTCATCATTCTCACAGTATCCTTCTTTGACATATGCGACTTGAGAAAAGTCCTTATCATATCCAGTAATGGTTTGGGGAGAACCATTATTACCAGGAGAACAAACATCCACTAGTTGATCGAGACCCCATCGAAGAACATCAGGATCATGTTGACACATACCCATCTGCCAGTTTTCAAGAATCCCAGTCACAGAAAAATTAAAACCTCTTTTTAAAAAAAAACGCAAAAAAAAAAAAAAATGGCTAAGTAGTGGTTGTTGTACACTGGAAATAATTCATGTTCCTTTCACCAAAAATAAATAAATAAATAATTCATGTTCCTATTTCCTACCATCCTCTTGAGAGGAAAAATCTAAATTAAACTTTCTTCAACAATATTTTCAAAGTATAAAAATTTAGAATGTAATCACAAATCTGACACATATATTCCGTAAATATAAGTAATTTATTTCCCAGGCAAACCATGACTACACAGCCTCATCAATTCTGAAAGGACAAATAAAATGTTTGCAGTCACACTTCACAAGTGAAAGTTCAAACTGCAGCAGCTCTACCCTCTAAAGGTCCAATAGAAGTGAATACATTAATCAATCAAAAGCCAAGGAAAATCAAGAGAGTTGAGGCATGAATCCTTATGGATTTTAAATATTGATGAACCCAAGATTAGTTTTAACCAGAATGGAAACAGAGTCCAGAATTCTTCTGGGGGGTAAACAAAACAATGTTGAAGCAAAATTTAGATTAGAAAAAAAAAACAGCGGATAATTTAAGCTATTACTACCATTCAAATTCAATAAAGAGAATACCAGTAACCTTATCCATTCGCAACGAGACACTAAGATATCAACGTGCGGTATCGAAATTATTATAAACAAAAACACCTTCTTTGGGAAGTCTAAATCAATCAGAAAATCCGTAATGCTACTACTAACATCCAACAATTTAACAACAAGACAATCAACTGACGCATCACAACTATTTGATTCCGACAACATCAAAGCATTCCAACCATACGTTAAAACCCAAATCCCTCATGACTGGCAGATAATCCATCGCACTCCGATTCCCTCAATAATTAAAACGAGAACAAACAAAGGAAGCAAAAAGAAGTAATAAGCTTTAAGAAGATGATGTGGTCACATCAGAAGCAATCGAACCTTGAACGTTGGAAAGCCAAAGAGAACTTCAGAAGATGATGAAGAAGAAGGCTTCATCCAGAAAATAATGGGGGGGGGCAAGAATATCAGGAAATTTACTACTTTTTGTGATCTTTTCTTTTGATGAAACTGTTGATATTTTTCTTTTTTTGGTTGATCAGGCGTTGAAGGAGAAGGAAGCAGATACGCCGCCGTTTCTGAAGAATTGATTTGACAGGCAACAACCCGAAAATTGAAAGTTGGAAAAAGTGAGAACCCAAACGGGCAGCCGTAGTTTGAGCGGAAAGGGGCGGGTAATCCGCCGTCGGACGTCACTTTTTTCTCCTGTTTGCAGTTTTGATGGTGGGGGGGTGGGGTCCACGGGGGTCCTTGTTTTAGAAGTAAAACTGTAAAAGGCTGATGACTGGTGTGTTGTCGGTTTATGAGTTGACGCGTGTGCAAAATGGATTTGGTTGGGAAGAGGGAATTTGGAGCAGGTTGGGGTCTCACGTGGACGCATCTCTTTGGTCGGTCATGCGCCTGCAACATGCCTCTCTTGTGGACCGTTGAATTTCTCCGTCATATGGCGGGTGATTTTGCCAAAAACTACTTTTACCATCCAAAACAATTTTAATATAAAAAGACATAATTATCCTGTTAAAATGGTGGTACGCATGTCTCACAAAGCTTGGCAGTCAAACGGCTCCTCAAATCCCTTTTGCTTCTACCGGACGCAAATCACCAATAATCTTATTATGAAAATCCATCTAATTTCTGTCCCGAGAGATTAAGATAGCACGTTAATTTTTTAAAAAATGTCCAATTTGTAGAAGAGAAAATATAAAGAACCTTTTTGAAATGGCAAGAAAACTAATTCGAGACTCAGTTACAAATTTGTACTTGTGTGTTTCTAAACTGTTTGTTTATAGCAAAAGATTTGAAATTCGGTGATTTTTTACTGTACCGAAGATTATATTTGATTTTCTCAACACCAAATTCATTGGCTTCAATTAAATTAAAATATTTGACGCTCCTAAGAAAAAGAAAATAAAATTATTTGGTTGTTTCTTAGAATGGAGAACAGAAAAATGATCGCTCTATGAACTTGATAGTTTTCCAAAATTTTTAGTACTTTTTTTCCCTTGCGACGGCAATCCTGGCTGAAGCCCTCTGGTTTTGAAGGAGTGGCTACAAGAAGTGAAAAAATGATGGAAAGTGTTGAAAATTCTATGATGGGTAATTATGTCTTTTCATTTAAAAATTGTTTTAGCTGTTAGTTTTTGTTTTGGCAGAATCACCATCCTTTGAATATATTTAATTAAAAAAAAATTATATTAGCCGGGTTCATGAAGCAACATCGGTCTAAGGAGATGGATTCACTTCACCTTCTCTTTTATCCATTTCCCCCCTTTTGTTTTCCCTATTCTCATTCTTTTATGTTCATAATTTGGAAAACAAAATTCGTACTCTAATAAGAATCCTATAATTGGAATACATTCATCTTCTTATTTGATATAGAAAACTCTAATAAATGAGAACATACAATATTGGATATAGAAAACACTAAATGATTATCATTGCACAAGCCAGTAATAAAAAATAGTAACAATTTTTTGTTCGTTTCTATTTTAGATTTGATTTATGGTTTAAAACGTGTTATACATGAGTTTGAAATTTGAATAGTTGTATAGATTATTTTTAAATAAGATATTGATTTAATCAATGGACGCCTAATCATTCGATCGTCGATAAACGATTATCCAACAATAGTGGTTAGTGGTTCGATAATAGTGGTTTAAATTTATATAAAATAATATTGTATATAATGTTTATTCTGTATTGGAATTTAAGTTAAATAGATAAAAAAAAAAATTCCTTGATTTTAAGCAGTTGGCCATACACGCCCCTCTTTTTCTTTTTTTTTTTTTGTTAAAAGTACCTGTTATATTATGTTAAATGTACTAATTTATTACATTACATACGATTGAAAGCTAAATTATGAGTTACACTTTGTAAGTCAAATACTCGCACAATTGCTTGCATTTATCTTCCTTTTCTTTTCGAGATTGGTCTTATATGACAGTTGCACTACATTTCTTGATTCACATGTTTTGGTATAGTGTACTCCCTTCCATCTTTGATATAAGGCATTCTGACTTGTCCTACGTTTCACCTAATATTCATTTTTAATTGAAAAAAAAACCATAAAAATATATTTTCACATTCGTTGTATTCTCTTTGTTAAGAAATATTTCAAAGGGTTTTTTTTTGTCAATTAAGAATATATATTAGGTGAAATTTAAGACAAATCAAAATGCCTTATAGTTTGAAGAAGTATTGAAACCATGAATTTCAATATGAAAACATAAGTATTAATGTTGAGACGGATAATGATAATGAATAAACAAATAACATCCTAAAGAAAATAAAAAGGATCCATGGGCTAGTTTTACATTGGGCTTAATGTGAGAAGAATTGGGTCAAGAAATGACCCAACAATAAATTGTACGGTCCAATTGCATAGCCCAAGTTCGAATCCCTTGTTGTGTGACTGAGCCGTCCACCGGTTTTCCTCCTCCTCCTTCTCCATCTCTGCAGAGTCTAGGGCTTCCTGCAATCAAATAGATTTAGTAGAAACAGGCGACACGTCAAAGCAGAAATGGCGTCGACATTTATGCAACAGTTCACCAGAAAGACGAAGGACGTAGCGAAACGGTCGACGAAGAGGTACGTGGAGGAAGCGCTGTACAGAAACCTCCTCAAAGAAGGGAGCGAAGAAGAAAGCGTAAGGCAACAATTGAACCAGTTCTTGAAGTCCCATAAAAGTGCTTTCAAATGGGAGGTGGATCATTCCATCAAACTTCTTCGTCAACGCCACCTCTATGGCCCTGCACTCAAGGTTCTTTGATTTTCCTTTTCTGCATACTTGCAATTTTTTCTCAAACTCCATTTCTGATTTGGGAATCGTGTGGAGCTTATTCTCTAGGGTTTATCGTTTTTTTGTTTTGAAGTTGGAATTTCATTCATTTGATTTAAGTGAGGGAGTGAAATGAAAAGAGAGAGAGAGGGAGTGAATGTTGTTAGGATGTGATTCTTTTGAACTAACGTGATTGTGATGTTGAAATTCTAACTATGATTCTTACTGATACAAAGAATGTGTTTTAGATTGCTTTTTGAAGCATTGGTTGGATTGTAATGATTGTAAAACTCATTTTGGGCCTCACAATGTAAAATTCGATTTCGTTGCTTGTTGAAGACACAGTATAAGTTTGCCGACTCTCTATGTGAAAATCTGATATGCTGTTCGCTCTATGTAAAAACCAATATGAGTCTGAACAGACTTGGTTTCTGATAATGAGGCAAACCATTCAAGGTTGAAGGTAGGTCTGGGTAGACATATGTTGGAAATGACTCAGTTACGAAGTAGGAACACATTGTAAACTCAATATGTGAATAAACCGGTAACTTGGAAATATGTGTTGGAGGCAAAGCAAATAGCATTTCATTTTTGTCCGGGATGTTTGAAAAGTTAGACGGAGTCTTTTTTCAACCCTTTTAGCTGTCTCTGTAGAGCTGTGATAAGTAGCTTATCCCTGATTATGCTGTCTGCAGAAACCTGTCTCTGACTAGGAAATGTAGGCCGAGGAAAAAGTTAATGATTAGAGGATGATTGCAATATTCTCTTTTCTGCATTTTTGTCAGTGTAAATTTACTTCTGGTGAAGTAATCATCAGTGTGCATGTTGTTGTCTCGAGTTTTTTTCATTGGATCTGTGAAGCATTAACACTGTTTTGTCAATACACAGCTTTCAGAGACTATGAAAAAGAGGGGAATGAACAAGACAACTAGTGATGAAGCTATACATCTTGATCTCATCGCAAAAACTAGGGGCATTGCCTCAGCAGAAACATATTTTGTTACTCTTCCGGATACATCAAAGAATCATTTAATCTATTGTGCTCTCTTGAACTGTTACTGCAAAGCTTTGATGGTCAGGAAAGCGGAGGCGTTAATGGAGAAGATGAAAGAACTTAATTTAGAATTGACGGCTATGCCTTATAATAGTTTGATGACTCTCTACACAAAAATTGGTCAGCCTGAAAAAGTCTCCTCCATGATCCAAGAGATGAAAGACAGTAACATAATGCCAGATTCTTTTACGTATAATGTTTGGATGAGGGCTCTTACTGCTGCCAATGATATTAATGGGGTTGAGAGGGTTATTGACGAGATGAAGAGGGATGGTCGAGTTTCTTCAGATTGGACAACATACAGCAACTTAGCATCAATCTATGCTGATGCTGGCTTATTTGATAAAACAGAGAAGGCACTTGTGGAATTGGAGAAGAAAAATGATCGGCGAGATCTGTCTGCATACCAGTATTTAATCACATTATATGCCCGCACTGGAAATATTCGTGAAGTCTACCGAGTCTGGCGCTCCTTGAGACTTGCTTTTCGTAAAACGGCAAACATTAGCTATCTGAATATGATTCAAGCGTTGGTTAACCTTAACGATTTACCAGGCGCTGAGAAATGTTTCAGGGAGTGGGAATCTGGGCAGCCAACTTATGATATCCGTATTGCAAATGTTCTCATTGGAGCTTATTTAAAAAATGGTTCGTTGGAGAAGGCTGAAGAACTCAAGGAAAGGGCCCGTAGATGTGGGGCAAAGGCTAATGCCAAAACTTGGGAGATTTTCCTTCATCATTATCTCCAGAGCGGAGATATAAAATTAGCTCTGGAGTGTATTCAGAATGCCATTTCAATTGGTAGAGGTGATGGTTCTAAGTGGGTTCCTCCCTCAGCAGTTGTGACAGAATTTATGGAACACTTTGAGCAAACCAAGGATGTTGATGGTGCAGAAGGTTTTCTAGAGGTTTTGAAACAGTCTGTAGAAGCATTAGATCTGAATGTATTTGAGACATTGCTGAGAACGTATGCAGCTGCTGGAAGAACGAGCCCTGCCATGCGCTACCGGATCAAGATGGAAAATGTGGAGTTAAGTGAGGAAGGTAAAAAGTTGCTCGAAGTCATCTGTGTAGAGTGACTTTTTTCTGTATCCCTTTCCTGATAGAGTTTTGTTAGAAGAATTGGTCGAATGCTTCACCTTGTTAGCTTCTTTTTTCATACCATAGGCCCGAATTGTCAGTTTTGTTGCCATCTTGGATGTGTTTTATAGTATAGTTTGCCCAAGTCTTTATGAATTCTGCTGGACGGAGTGGTTGGGGAGCGGGGCTTGGTCGATGGTTCTATGACATTGACAAGCATGTGAACTTGCTAATAACTTAGTGCAGCTGCGGAAATATATTGTTGTAACCTGTAACTAGGCTGTAGGCAGTGAAAGCTCCTGTTTTCTGTTCCAATGGACTGCCTCAAAGATTCGATCAAATGAAAGTTAAAAGTTAAATGCGGATGGCATTAATTTGCTCTGAAATCCTATGAATTATATTGATTGATACAATGGAAGATGAATTTTACTTGGTTATTTGGCACTTCTTATGATTGTAGTCTCTGTAGACATTTTTATCTTGTCACCGCTTACCATTCATCGATTTCATTATCACGATTCGGGAGCAAATTTAATTGTCTTTAGGGTTTAGCATATTTCCAGTACAGGTTCCTGGAACTAGATTTCAATTTTACTGCTTGAAAGGTAATATTTTGGCAGCACAAGGAGATGAACCATCTAAAAGATGTGTATTTCCATTTGCATAAATACAGTTAAAATATCAAGCAAATTGCTGCAAGAAAAGCAGCCTGACAGGCTTCATCTGGTTCAATACAAAATTTGCTTGGTAATGCCAGCGACCTTTCTTCTGCAACTACTTGTCAAGAAGCTGTCACTAGCTTAGGTCTCCATGCCTTCCAAACCAACCATTTATTTCCTGCTGCTACGTTCTCAACAACTGTTGTCTTTGCTCCATCTGCCTTCTGTTTCTTTTCAGAATCTTTCAGGCGGAAACTAATGGGAGCTTCAGGGCTCACAATCGCACTTTCTTTGACAACCTGCGTTACTTGTTCCAAAACTTCACTCATCCTGGGACGATTTTTTGGTTGCCGTACTAAGCATTTATTGGCTATGGCAGCTAGCTTATGTGCGGACTTCAGAGAATATTTCCCATTTAGCCTAGGGTCTAAAATCTGTTCGAATTTCTTGATGTCTGATAGATTCGGCCTCACCCATTCCAGGAGCTTCTGCTCATGTTTTGGTCGATTTCTATCTAGAGGACGTCTGCCGGTGATAAGTTCATACAGAAAGACTCCATAACTCCAGACATCACTCTTGGATGTTAGGCGGCCAGTTTGGATATATTCAGGAGCAGCATATCCAACAGTTCCCACCACCTACATTTTACAGTACAAAATCAGTAAACATACAGAACAAAGAGAAATTTAGAGAAAAGCAAAATTTGCACAGTTCATTAGTATACCGCAGTCGAGACATGGCTTAATCCTTCCGAAGGGCCCAGTCTAGCCAATCCAAAATCTGAAAGCTTTGCATTCCATTGTTCATCCAAGAGAATATTAGATGACTTAAAGTCTCTGAAGATAATCTGTGTGAAAATCAAACATTTTACATCAGAATATTGTACAATTAGGTAGTGCAATCAGCAATCTCGGGAACTTTGTTTTCCTCATGTATCATTCAAATCTGAATAGTTCTATTTCATAGAGCTTGGCTGTATGTAACCCTTCCACTTTGTCTTGTAATTAAGCTGCAGCTCCAGTTTCATGTTCAATATGTTTGTGTATGCAACAAATAAGTATTCATGTGTTCTAGACTACTATTTACTTCGGAATTCTGGTATTTTCTGAACTCTAGAGTGCAACAGAAGTAAACTTAATTATCGACTTTAGGCTTTAGGATTGTCAAATGATATGAGAAGGTAATGAGGCCAGGAATCAACTTGTTTGGTGCATGCAATTAGACATAACTAGAATAACTGTTTCTCGGAAAATAGATAGCAATCATGAAATTCTCTAGCAGAAGGAGCATTGCACACCAAATCACTGCAAAAACAAGAATTGTGACTGATGATAATCCAACCGTTTAAACTCTTACGGATCAAACTATTCCATGATAATTACTGCCAGATACTGGAAGATAATGAGGTGAGCATCAAAGGGAATTCAAAATTCACAAGGAACAGCAGGAACCTGAAAATCCATTCCTTCGTGGAGGTATGTCAAACCGCGAGCAGCATCCTGTGCAACTCTCAATCTGGTGGCCCAAGGTAGAGGCACCTGGAATCGACTTGATAGATGATCTTGTACACTCCGGTTGGGCAAGTATTCGTAAACCAAAAGGCGTTGCATCCCTCTTTCATCATCTTCGGCGCAATAGCCATACAGCTTGACAAGATTTGGGTGCTCAACAATGCCTAGAACATTCACTTCTGTAACCCATTCCTTATGTCCCTATCAACACCAAAAGTCCTCAAATAAGCTATGAATTAAAAACATCATTCCATAAACCTTTCCACTTTTGGTTTAATCCTTGATTTAGCAATATCATTAAACCTGAACTAGTACAAATTACCATCAACCCTTTTCTTATAAAAAAGAAAAAGAAGGAAAAATTACCTGCAATCCCCTTCTGCTGAGCTGTTTGACAGCAGCATCAATTTTCCGGTTTGAGTCAACCTCATCCTTGATGGAACCCCTGTATACACCCCCAAAACCGCCTTCACCGAGCATGACGGATCTGCTAAAGTTTTTTGTAGCTGTCCTGAGCTCTGCAAATGTAAACTCCCTGAGATTGCTAATTCTGTGGGATAAACAACCGAGTGACATTCCCACAGAAGATCCGGTGCTCATGTCGGAAACATTGAAAGACGTATATCCAGAAGCAGATCTCCTCACATTATGATCAGTTGATGCTGAAGTAGAAGAGGGCAGGGAAACAGACTTTGGAGTCCTTGGTTCATCCTTCTTGTCAGAGTTAGAAAAAGAGAAACACCTCATCTTCCGTAAAAGTAAGCCACTTCCCCTAATCAATCTGCAAATCTGTTTTCATGAGAACCTTAAAAACTACTACAATATTCATGCAAGATTCTATCTTTAGTGAAGATCAAAAGTAATGGTTATATCAACAGCTACAAAACTTTCTCAAAAAACAGGACAATAAAAATTCTTAATTTCATTATCACGAGGACAACATGATTCCCTTTAATTAAACGCATTTCAAGCAGTCCTGGTTGGAGTTGAATTTTAAACAACCTATTTCATTATCTCCTTCTGGTCCCCTTTTTAAAATTTGAACTTTCTCTGTTTTAGAGTGTTCCCACCTAAAAAATCCCTACAATTCTTGTTGCTCACCAACCCAATCTTCCTTATAACTATCATCATTTCTATAAACAATTCATAACTACTCTCAAGTAGTAGAACTGAAAGGACAACTTTCAGTGGCAAGAAGCCTAGAAGAGAAATATATAATGTACCTGTTGGAAGTGAAAACACCAGGAGAATTCAAACAATTGTCACAGACTTGGGATGTTTTTAGAAGAACCCAAAACCCAAATAAGGGTTATGATCATGAAAATGAATGAGTGAAACGAGGATCCCATGATCTAAAAGGAAGTCAAAATCAAAAATGCAAGGCAGCTGGAAATCAGCTCACCAACCACTGTTCATTTCATTGAAAAAAATGACAAACAGGTAAGTAAAGTAAAGACAGTGCTCTTAAAAGAGAACCAAAAAAAAAAAATGATTTGTGAGTGTAAAAAACCAGGGCCTGAAAAGTGGGAAGGACATTGGAGTATCATATAACAACGATTGCTTTATCAATAAAGAGATTAATAAAATAAATAAAGAAGCAAATTTTTAGTACGTGGAAATAATGTGCTAAAAACAAGTGGTACCTCAGAAAGAGACAGAAAGTACACTTGTTGGAAGATTTGTAAGTACTTGCACAGTTGGGGGAATTTTGATGTTGTTGAAGATCTTGAAATTGAATTCACACCTAACTCTAGTTTTGTGTTGTTACGTGGTCTCCATCTTTGTCTGCCAAGAAAGATACTACCTGCTGACCCGGCCCAAATATGAAGTAAATTTGGCTCGATAACTTTGGTGGACATAGGCCCATTTGAAAGTATTGGGTCATGTTAAATAATCGAAAAATTTTAGAATGTCTTAAAATTATTTAGAGATTTGTAGAATATTAAAAAATGAGTATAATCATATGGTATTGTCTGGAATGTTGTGGAGGTTTCTAAAATATTATGGAATTATAGAGTAAGTTGTAAGAATTCTCTAGATTTAGAATTTTTAATAGTTTATGTAAAATTATCTAGAAGTCTAAGGGCTTAAGTAGGCAACTATAAATACTCCAAGCCCCCTATTGTAAAGAATGAAGAATTCAAGGTGTTGAATTCTAGTTTACAACTTCTCTCAACCTCTCTTTGAGTTCTTATTCTTTCTTCCTCCTTTTCTTTAAACCTTCAACTTTTCACTTAGTTGTTTCAAGAATTTTGTGAGTTTTAAGGGTTGGGCTAAGCTAGCATTCATTGTTAGTGGTCTAGAGTGTTAGTGCTGCACGGTTTTAACTTATAAAATAGTTAGCCCGTGACAGTTGGTATCAGAGCCTCGGCTCGATACATACGCTTCCGCTCATTATTAAATTTTGTGCATGATGTCTAGTCCATTGGAGGTTGTTCAGGTGTGGAGGTTGAGGGTGGTGATCATGTTTCTCGTGAGCCAGAGAGGACTTATTCTCGAAGGGGAAACCCATAAGGATAAGTCCGTTGCTCCTGAGCCGATGGTCGACTTTGAGAAACGGCTTGCCAAGGTGGAGTTGGCCGTGGCCAACCATTGTGATCGTTGGGAAGAGCATGCTTCCAATGTGGAAGTTATCTGTAAGGAATGCATGGAGCGAATCAAGGGTGAATTACAAGAGATGATGCAACATGCGTGAAGAGATGCTTGGGACACTCAACAAGGTGTTTGAGAAGGTCACTAAGGCTTGCAGGAAAAATGCAGCCAAGTCACCACGCTCCAAAGTGATTGCTCAAACTCAGGGGTGAGTTTGAGACTTATCGGGCACAAACAGAGCAACTCAAGGTACGAGTGGATGCTCTGTGTGCTTAAGAGATGGCCGGAGTTGGAGGGCCAGCTCCACTTGTCGATGCACCAAAACCAGATGTTTATGCTGGTAGCCACAAGGCAATGGACGTAGAGAATTTTTTTCTCTATGAACTTGAGAGGTACTTTGGCGTTGTGGGCTTGACGGATGATTCGGTAAGACTCTATTAAGCCTCTTGTTATTTAAAAGATAGTGTTCTATCTTGGTAGAAACGTATGATGAAACCGGTTCGAGAAGGAAGACCGGTCTTCACCACTTAGGAAGGATTTAAGGAGGAATTTAAGAAACAATTCGTCCCGGCTGATGCTGAAAACGATGCTCGAGCTAAACTTCGCCGCTTACACCACAAGGAGAGTCATATCAGGGAATATGTGCAGGAGTTCTCTGATCTTATACTTGAAATTCATGATCTCTCGCCCAAAGAAGCTTTGTATACGTTTATGGATGGCCTTAATCGTTGGGCTAAATTAGACCTACAACGGAGTGATTCTCGAGATGTTCAACAAGCTATGCGAGTTGCAGAATCTCTTGTGGAGTTTCAGAACAATAATAGCCATAAAGGCACTGGTAAGAAATTTTTCAGTGATGCAGTTGGAGAAAATGACATGACCTCCTATCAGATGTCATTTGAAGGAGCGAATATCGCCTCCAACAAAGAGAATTCAAAAGTGGAGAAACCCAGAAAATTTGAGGGTTGCTTTTTATGTAGAGGATCTCATTTGGTTCGTGATTGTCTGTCTCGTAGTAAACTCGCCGCCATATCTCAAAGTTCCCATGAAGATGACAAGTTGGGACATAGGGCATTAGGCACGATGCCCCATTCAGGTGGGGGAGAGTGACACGGCCCAAATATTAAGTAAATTTGGCCCGATAACTTTGGTGGACTTGGGCCCATTTGGAAGTATTGGGTCAAGCCCAATAACCAGAAAATTCTAGAATGTCCTAGAATTATCTAGAGGTTTGTAGAATATTAGAGAATGAGTAGAATCATGTGGTATTGTCTGGAATGTTGGGGAGGTTTCTAGAACATTATGAAATTATAGAGGAAGTTGTAGGAATTCTCTAGATTTAGAATTTTTAATAGTTTATGTAGAATTATCTAGAATTCTAAGGGCTTGAGTAGGCAGCTATAAATACCCCAAGCCCCCCATAGTAAAGTATGAAAAATTCAAGGTGTTGAATTCTAGTTCACAAGTTCTCTCAACCTCTCTTTGAGTCTTTATTCTTTCCTCCTCTTTTTTGTTAAACCTTCAACTTTCCACTTAGTTGTTTTCAAGAATTTTGAGAATTTTAAAGGTTAGCCTGAGCTAGCATTCATTGTTAGTGGTCTAGAGTGCTAGTGACGCGCGGTTTTAACTTATAAAATAGTTAGCCCGTGACACTGCTCACGAGGCATAAAATCTTCCTCAGTCATCCCTTGAGCTATTTGAGGATAATACTCTTATTTTTCCCTTCTCAAATACAAATAAATAAATAAATAATAAATAAATAAAATAAAATAAAATTATATGTGCAAGAAAATTTTACAGGAAACTTTAACAAGAAATAATGTGGCTTTATTCCCTAACTATTAAATAAAATAAAGTAATAAACCAGTAAATATAAACTTGAACTTGGGTTATTAATATTTGTTATGATTTGATCATTAACATTAACAATTCACTGATTTAGAGCAATAGATTTATGTTTTTCACTAAAAATATTTTATAATAATTTGAAAAATACAACGAATATGAAAAAAAAATCCAATTAAAAAGACATCATTGGTTAAACGTAAGACGAAATCAAAATGCCTTATAATAAGGACCGGAAAGAGTAAGTAATTAGAAAAATTAATAATTCAAAATTAAAAAAAAATCGAATTTTCTCATTCTCTCTCATAAACCGCACCTCCAATGGTCCTTCTTCTTAAACTTTTATTCCATTTCTCCACGATCAAATAGTCAAACTCCCATTCCTAATCTTCCCTCCTGCAACCCATCTAAAATGCCTCAGTTTACGATGAACTTTAATTCTAAAATCGGGCAAATAATAAGATGAAATATATAAAAAGGGAAAAAGCAAAGGGAAAAGAGAAACATTTACAAGGAAAAGGGATAAAAATGAAAGAAGAATGACCATAAGAGGTGGGTGGGGTCCATTAGTTTTTTTTTAAGAAAAAAGAGGAAATAATTTTTTTTTAATTTTTGTATATTGAATTTGTAAACCTTTTTAAAAAAATATCTTAGTTAATTATAAATAAATATAATATTTTTAGTATTATTTTAATCAAAATTTGTTATTTTTTTTATATATTCTTGAAAATTTGAAATTAGATATGGTTGAAAATACGCATGTTGACTTGAAAAAAAAAAGGGTCAACTCAAGAACCCCAAATGCATAGTGTCAAAGAAAAAAAATGACCAAACTAGTGAACTATTAATGTTAAGAACCAAATTAAATTTTTTTGACAAATGTAAAGGATTATCTGAGCAGATTACTCAACAATTATTACTAAAAAAATGATTGTTTGTTCAATTAAATAAGACTTTTTCTCATTTTCTCATTGGACAAATGAAATGAACTCTAAATTAAAGAGATGTAATTAAGATAAGATAATGATATTATGTTGCACCGATAACATAAATTGCTACCTATAATCTAGATAGGGGGTTGTCAACCAGAAGTAGAATAAAACAAACTTGATAAAAACATCAAACACGTCAAGAATTTTTTTTAGCCCCACCGCTTTAAAGGTATTTATGCTTTGAAGGGATTTATGCTATTATTACAAAAGGATAGTATTATTAGGGAGAGACTCTACTCGTGTGCATCTCTTGCTCTGTGTGTCCGGTTCACCGTGGAGGCTTCCTACCTGCTTAAACTGGTTGCCGGTCAACTAGCTATTGTTGTAAATTTTAGTTTGTAAAATAAAATAATTAATTTAGAACTTAATGATAATAATTAAGTTGGCAACCCTTCGCTTGTATGGTAGTTATTTTCTACAGGCCAAGGGTTGTGTACTTGATTTGTATCATTTGTTTCTGCAAGTGTTGCTTATAAATAGGTGAACTAGTGCAGGATTTCGTTCTAACTTTTGCTTTCCTAAATTCTTGAGAATATTCAATAATTGCAAATTGCATGTTCTTGTGTTCTTTATGTCTTAGAGGCAAATTGCCAAACAAACCCGGTATTGGAACATGAAGGGGGCAAATATTGTCTTAAGGACAGTGTCTAACACGATTAGAACACATCCAAATCCTGTGATTCCCCCATTATTGTTATATTCAAGTTTATAACAATAAAGTTCATAAATGTTTCATCTTTATTCTTTAGTGTCTTTTGTGTTGTCTCTTTGATTACCACCCTCATATACT